ATATATATATAGTATATATATATATATATNTATATATATATATATATTATATATATATATATATGTATATATATATATATATATATATCGATTGATCTCAAAAAAATCTTATCTTTTTTTAACTTTTCCCTTAAAGGTATTCTAATTTTTAATTTCTTAATTTAATATTTTTTTCTAATATCTTAAATTTATCGTCGTCTTTGGGTGGTCATTACTAATTGTCGCCTCTACTTCTTTATAGGGGACCATCAATAGTGAAAAATATATCTCTAAATTATCTATTCTTATGGATCTTCTTCTTAATGATGATAAGGAGATCAATCATAAGAGTCGAGGGAGAGGGACGATAAAAATAGTGCAACATATAAATATGACTATGATATGATGGAGACAATCAAGTGGTGCGAAGTCATTCACGATAGCAAGGAGGTAGTAACGGTGAAATAAAGATGATTACGATGGAACTATGGTGGCCATCAACAATGTCCACTTAAAAGAGGAGATGGTGACGAACATTTAAGATATTAAAGAAAAAAAATATGTAATGAAAAAAAAAAGAAAAGTATGACACCTTTTGAAAAAAAAGTTAAAAAAAATTTAGTAAATATTTTTAATGATAAATTATTGAACGTATACACTCATAATTCGAGAGAGATAGACACGATCATAATTTCAGAACTATCAAAATCATCAATTCTTATTTGGCAAACCTTAAAACTAGAACCAAATCGACAAGAGTTGATTTCGGTTTTAGTTTATCTGATTTTAGTTTCCGTTTGAACGATAATTTTTTAATATTTTTAAAAATAATTTATAATATAAAATTTTATAATTTTTGAAAATTTGATGTATATTGATGATGACTTAATGAGTGCAAATGTATAATAATAGGTTTTCTCCCTTAAAAAATTTTACTATTCTGACTAATTTGATCAGTAGATATAAAAATTTGGAAGGTACCATACTGCCTATAATAGCCATATTAATTTAGTGACCAATTTTTTAACATTCTAATTTTGTCACCAATATCAACATCTACTCCAAAGTATTCATAATAAATACATAAATAATCACCTAAACCATCTAATCTAATAAGAAGATTAAAAACACGTGTAACTAAATAAACTAGTGGAATTTTAAGAAAATAATTTATCTATTTTGATTTCATAGTCATTATCATCATATTTAAATCATTATTATTTTGATGTTCTTTTAATGCACCAATAATATTAATATAAATAACTAAAAAAAATGTGCACTAGGATAATAAACACTATACATTATATTATTAAAAAAATTAAAATTTTTGAAATTCTTTCATGCACATTCTAATGTCGTGGATATAAATTAACTCGCGTAACATTATTTATAATAAAAGTGCATAATAAATCTTTATATTCGAAAGATTGTTTAAGTAATTCAGAATTGCATTTGGTAGGAATATCACTAGGAAATATTTTGAGCTTTTATTGTTTAATTTTTAAAATTTAGTTTTTTTAATTACTTATGGATGGCACCACAAGAATGAAATATCTTGTTTAATAATAAAAAGAAAATTTTCAAAAGATCTATATCCATCTTGTACACAAAAATTCAAAACATGATAAAAATATCTAACATGGAAAAAAAAAAACTCCCAGAAGTAAGTTGACAAACTTGTTGTAATTCTAAATAGAAGCTGCATTTGTTATTATCAAAACTATTAAAAAATTTAAAAATAAAATAATATTATTATAAATATTATCTTTTGCATGGGTGCATTTGTTATTATCACTCCAAATATCAACATTAATAGAAATATGATTATTCAAAGCTCAAAAAATATTTTAAAAATATTTTTTATATAAAAATTATATAAAGTATGTGTAAAAGTGGTATGAGAAACTACTTAGTGCAATAAGATTTAAAGCCTCTTAATAATAATCAATAAATCCGACCTCTTCATCAAAACTAAAAGATAAATCTTTAACGATAATTGATCTAGCTAATACTTCATAATTTTTTTAAAAACAATTGAAAAGTGAGAGAAGTAGGATACTTAAAAATTTTTCTCTGACTTTTTGTTGGATATTTCTTCTTATATGCATTCGAAATATTCTATATTCTTGGTCTTTGAATTTAAAAATTTAACTATACGAATTACATATGACATAAAAAAAGGTCTCTCAAAGCAAGCTATTATGTTATTGTCAAAAGGGACAATCTATTTTTTTTTTCTTCTATTTTTAAAATATAAAAATAGCTAAAATGCTTCTGAATATAGTCATTTATATGATTGTTGGGAGAAGTAAACTAGTGATTTGCTCCTTTATTGATCATTGGGATCAACCGTTTGAGCCCAACAATCGATCAATAGCCTGTTCATCAAGTATTTTTTTTTTAATAAATCATCAAACTGATAATTCAAACCAATAATTTGAACCATCAATTTCAGTTCCTGAACTATCAATTTCGGAATCGATAGTTTTAGTTCTTGATTTCCTAATGTAGAAATCGAAATTAAACAATTACTTATCAGTTTCATTCGAATCGAATCATGATCAGAGGAAAAAAGGGGATGAAGGTGAAAGTTGGATGATAGTGAGATTAGTTCGTCTTATCTCCATCTGATTCGACTTCTTCAATATGTTATCATCGTCTTCTCCAATCTGCTTGTAGTTCACCATCTAATTCTTGCATTGGATTGAAAATTTCTAATGAAGTCTAATCGCATGTTATTGTGTCAAATGTTGATCCGCGACAACTAAGATGATTCATATTTGCATATTTCAACGATCAAATCCATTATCCTCTTCCAATATACTAATCTTAGTATCAAACTATGTTTCATAATGTTATTTTTGTTGACCGATCAAATATTCATTTGATACTAGGGTCTCCGACATCAACTTACCCGATTCAATGAAACAAGAATAAATCATATCATATGGTCTTCAACTCAGATGTCATTTTCGTCATTTATTTTTTATAAAAAAAATAATTTTCTTCTATGAATGAAGTTATATCGGGATTCTATAATGCCTAATTGTAATCTATGGTTATTCAGTTTATGATTTTTCTATATATATATATATGTTTTAATGTTAAAGCCCAGTGTGAGTGTCTTGAATTTTCTTTATCTGAATTTAAATCTGAAAGAAATGATCTGATCCTCTATTATAAATTTCTACTGCCATTTTCTTTAATTTCTATCACATTTAAACTTTAGTTGGATTTTAAATGACACCAAATAGGGGGACGCCTTTAACAAGTCCTGAACGGTCGAATCCACAACGGTCGACTCCTATTCTACCGATTCGAAAATTCCAATAGAATAAATCATACATCCCACCGCCCACCCCAACGGTCGCTTCCTTGGGCATCCGCGATTGGATGCTGCGGATGGGTCCCAGGTGGGACACATGCCATTGTAGAGGAACGGTACACCCGTAACTCCCTCTGCGGTAGCTTTTATATTTATTTGTTCTTTGAAGGAAATAAATATAGCCGTTATGTTCTCACTTGCTTCTTCATTAGGCATCCCCGTATCTTTCCTCGCCCCCTTCGCCGTCCGACTCAAATTTCGAACAGAGAAAGAAGTACGCGTGAGTGACAGAGAGAGAGAGAGAGAGAGGGAGAGGGAGAGGGAGAGCGCACATTGTGATCCCCGACTGATGGCAACAACGACAACAAGATCGCCTTCCCCCAACCCGTCCCGACCCAGAACCCCCGACGCCAGCGTCGCCAGGAAGAACTGCACCGCCATTGCCTCGGCCTTCTCAGGTAAGCATCGACAAGAAGAAGAACCTTCTCACATCTTCTTGATGATCCCCTTTGCGGAAGGCTTGAACCTTTCTTGGTTCTTGTTCTTGCCTGCAGAGCCCCATCAGAGGAGCGCCGGTGGCAAGTCGGGAGTGGCGTTGGCGGCGTCTTCGCGTGCGTCGCTCGAGCAAAGGGAGAACGAGAGGGACCTGAACTGCAGCGCCTCCTCCAAGCCCTCGGCCGTCAGGGCGAGGTCCCCCGCGCCGTCATCTTGTTGCTCGGCCAAGGGAGCGAAGAACTTCATGGCCCCCACGATCTCCGCCGCCTCCAAGGCCGTGGCCGCGTCGCCGAAGAGGAGGATCCTGGCGGAGAGGAACGAGACCGTGCCCGTCGTCCGGTCTTCCCTCACCTCGCTCTTGGACGAATCTCCGGCGCCGGAAGAGGTTCCTGCGAAGAGAAGGGTCAGTTTCGGTGCGCGGCCGCATCAAGACTCTGGCGTTCAAGAGACCCCGTACGTCGGTGGCGGCGGCAGCGAGCCAAGAAAGATCGAATCTGAGATCAAGAACCGCCGCTATTCCGGTGTTCTTCCCTCCTTTCACATTTCTCCAGCGGCTATAGCTCCTTTGGACGCTGACCCATCTCTTCCTCCTTACGATCCCCACACCAATTACCTCTCCCCGAGGCCGCGATTCCTCCACTACCGTCCCAATCCCCGGATCGATCAGTACCTGAACCAAGAAGGCGACTTGATGGATGCAGGAGACGGGAAGCGGCTCGAGGACAGCTTCTCCTCCGAAAGCTCTGAGGAGACACCTGGGCAGACCGAGGAAGAACAACAGTCCACACCGGGAGATGACGAGTGTTCATCCCCCGAGGTGGAAGCGATGGAAGAAGAAACAGGTGAAAGCCCTGTTCCTGAATCTGAATCCAACCCCGAATCCACGGGTAAAGGTCGCTCCTTTTGGCATTACAAGTTTGCTTCCCTTCTCCTAGTTTTGGGCATTGCTTGCATCTTTGGCTCCTTCCTTGGATGTCCTATTCTGTCATCTTCCACGCTGAAAACCCCAGTAATACCAGCCATTGATGATGTCCATGTAAGGGACTACCTAGCTGTTGCTGCTCTTGATCTTAAAGAACTAGCTAGGAAATTGAGCCAATGGTCATTCGATTCTTTTGCTCGTGACACTACTCTGACTTCCTTGCCAAGAGAAGAATTTGGTCCCTTTTTTATGCCTAACTTGACAGCCGCAAATATAGAGCAGAGAGAAGGCATAGATTACAGCTATATTGGAACGATCGTAAGCAATGAACATATTGGTCAGGGCAGCGAGATGGAGCAACCTTTTGAGGGAGAAAAGCAAGAGGAGAGTATGGAAGAACATGAAGTAGACATAGATCACAGCTGCAGTGCAACAACGCTTAGCAATGAACACATTGATCAGGGCAGCGCGATGGAGCAACCTTTTGAGGGAGAAATGCAAGAGGAGAGTATGGAAGAACATGAAGTAGACATAGATCACAGCAACAGTGCAACAACGCTTAGCAATGAACACACTGATCAGGTCAGCGAAATGGAGCAACCTTTTGAGACAAGTGTGCAACAGGAGAGCATGGAAGAACATGAAGTTGATGTCTCGGGAGATGAGCTAAAAGATGATACAGAGTCTGGGGATGAGAAGAGTGGAATTGAAGTAACACGAGGTCTGGAAGAAAATGATGTTACAGTGGAACCAGAGGCTGATGATGATGTTAAAGAGAGTAGCCTTGTGGAATTTGAGAGTGAGAAGAAGATTGCAGAGGCTGATGATGCCAAAGAAATGGAAGAAGAAGCAATAGTTGATGGCATTGAATCCGAGAAGAATATTGAGTTGGAGCTCAGGAAAATGCAGGATATTGGTCCTCATGATCTTGTGACCCAACATGATGAAGTAGCAGGAGGTCAAGGTGATAGTGGCAGTTCATCATCTTCTGCTTCTCAAACACATGAAGACAGTCCTTCAGCATCTGGTGATGAAAGAATCTCTAAGACCGTCCAATCCCAAGAGCTTTCGATGTATGGATCAGATGGTAAACATGCAATGAAGCTGGCAGCTGGGCTGTCTTCAGCAGTTCTGCTTGTTGCGTGCTTTACCTTTCTTCTCATGAAGCAAAGGCAGACGTCTCCCTTGGTGGATAATCCTCAGATAGCTCCAGCAAAGAAGGTGATCACCAAATCAGTCTCAGGCAGCAGTGAGAGCCATGGCCATGCCAGGGGGTCTCCTTTCCAGAATACCCCAGTGGTGGACATGCTGATGATGGATTCTGGTCCTTCAGAATTCAGCAGTAGCTTGCAGAACAGCACGTCTGTTGGCCGGAGGAGAGCAACCCGAAAAGGCGAGGAGGAAGAGACTGAAAGCAATGAGAGAAGGCTGAGAAGGGACTCTACAGTTTCATCTTCTTCCATTTCTTATGGAAGTTTCACTACCTATGAGAAGCTCTCTTCCAAGAAGGTAACTAAATAATATCCTTTTTTTACTTTTCTTAATGGTGTATAAAGTGATGTTTGGTGAATTGATCTTGAAGTTGCCTTCTCTTTTTTCTGTGGTGTGTAGGGAAGTAGAGATGAAGAGGTGATAACTCCAGTGAGAAGATCAAGCAGGATCAGAAACCACCAAATTGCTTCCCCATGAGGAGGAGGAGATGATGAAATGCTACTCTAATTACTTGCAGAGTAGTAGTAGCTAACCTTTGTTGCTGTGGTTTGTTGTTGCAAGCAGTCTTAGCTTTTATTAGGTTGACATGGCTTTAATTTTAGGTTGCTGATTCTTTTTCTTAGGTTGATTTGTACTTGGGTGTGAGATATCTAATGCATGATTGATCAGCTTTGTGCTGTTCATTTCATTTGGATTATGGAAGAGATTGGGTTTGAAATGTGCTTCTGAAGTCACCCTTTGTTTATCTAATCCAAGTATATGATGATCCAACTACACTTAATCAAAATGATGAAATTATATATGATGGACATAAAATTGATTAAGAACAAGTGTGAATTCTAGAAAAAAAAAATTGAGCTTTAAAATTTTTTCATAGAGCATCTTAATTTTGAAAAATTCCTATAGAACATTTTTTTTATCAATAACTATTTTACCTATGGCCTTGTTAGACCTATCGTAACCTGCCCCCTCGTTGTGCTTGCCCTTGATCCTTGCACGAGAAAGGAGGGGGAGAAATGACTGTCGTTACCTTCGCTTTATAGTGTCGTCTTGCACTACTCTCATCGTGCTTATCTACCGGCCTCGCATGAGAAATGAGACTCTCGTGCCCTATCGAACCTACTCAGGTGGTGGCGACTCTCGTGCTCCCTCCTTTCTTGTGTAAGGGTTACGAGCGAACACAAAAATAATATTTTAATTTTAATTTTAGTATCTATATTTTTACTTATATATTTTTTAAGGGTAGATATAATATTAAAATAATTCAGATTTGAAATTTTATTTGTTGATTTAAGACGTAATTAAAGATTATATAAATGTAATTTGCTTGATTTTTTTGACTTTTTTTTCAAATGATTCTCTCATTTTCAATTTACCCATTTATATTCTCATTTTTTTTTACTTTTTTTTCAAACGGACCCGAATGCAACCATGTGCGTCGATTTGGGGGCGATTTGACGCGCTGATTCATACAAGTCCGTCCGTACCTCATCCCTAACGGACTAAAGCAGCGGTGGTGACGGCCTCTCCGTACTTCTCCCATTCGGACCACCTCTCGACTCCCAGAGCTATGGCGGCTACCGTATCCGCCACCCGCTTCACCGCCGTAGCCGCCGGTGCTCTCCGGGGACTGCGGTGGCGGTGCTCCCCTCCGGATCATCACGCCTTGCTATTCTCCAAGAGGCCCGGAGCCGTCTCACTCAATCACCGGCGCCGCTTCGTCGCCCCGTCCGCCCTCCACAAGGCCGACATCCAGGCCAAGGACGAGGGCCAGCCGGAGACCCTCGACTACCGGGTCTTCTTCCTCGACGGCTCCGGCAAGAAGATCTCGCCGTGGCACGATGTGCCCTTGCACTTGGGCGACGGGGTCTTCAACTTCGTGGTGGAGATCCCCAAGGAGACGAGTGCGAAGATGGAGGTGGCCACCGACGAGCCGTACACGCCTATAAAGCAGGACACCAAGAAAGGGAAGCTTCGATACTACCCGTGAGATCATTTTACATCTCAATCACTTCTCTTATTTTATTTTCTTTTCGCTTAGATTGCTTATTGTTTGTTTTAACTGTTAATTCCGAGATGTTGACCTGAAAATATCATGGATTTTGTTTTTTCGTCAGCCTGGGATAATGCTGTGAAACTGATTAGCTCAGTGAAGAGTTTGATATTTGAGACAGATAAAATAATGAACTGTCAATCATAAACCTAATAAGCGTGGAGTTTTTGGTGAATGTATCGTAATAGTAATAGTCTATCTTTCAGAACTATTCGGAGATTGTGGCATTTTCTATGAAGTTAATCGAGAATGTAGACAATCTCCAGTATGGCTATTCTATATTTGCTTTAGTCCCAACAAATTTCCAACACCAATATGGCAATCCCCAATATGTAATCTACATCTACTTTAGGATTGCCCCGACAGGAGTTATGCTGAATTTACTCTGCCACGTTGAATTTTAGTTATTCAAAGGTGAAAATTTAGACAAAGTCTGCTAAGTTTAAGTCAACATACGTCTGTGAATTAGATCTTGTTGCTATGTGCTACCAGAAGTTAAAATCCTTGTCTCTTCAGATGACAAGTTCATTGTCATAGGCCTGTTAACCACATTAATGAGTATAATGCATGAGTCCTGTTTTTCCAAATTAAATCATTGTGGCTTTCACATATCAAATGATTTTACTAAACTGAAGTAACTCTTACAACTTACACACTTTAAAAAATATGTGGATTAGATGCATTTAGATGAGCAGTCTAGAGATGTAAATGCCTGAATTTAATATAACATAAGGGTATGGGAAGAAATGGGTTGACAAGATTGACCATAGGAATTGCATTATTGTGAGAGTTCTTTTTTTTATATATATGAACAAGGCCATGTCTACCTATACAAATACGTAAGAAAGTTTGGCAGATACAAGGTCACAAATTTGCTCAGCAGGCTTCAGAATTCAGCGAGAAATGCCAAATCATGTGAAAAATAGATCATACTTGAAACTTGATTGGGCAATATCACCCCACCTATGAAGGTTCTTGAACATATTCTAAATTTGAGAGCCTAGTTGTTTGATTGTTCATTTTCAATTTCAGGTACAACATAAACTGGAACTATGGATTACTTCCACAGACGTGGGAAGACCCATCTTTTGCTAATGCAGAAGTCGAAGGGGCTTTGGGAGATAATGATCCAGGTTCATAAGAACCACTTCCTATTTTTCGAGTTCAATGTTGCTTGTTGATTTTTATAGTGTAGCAAGATCCTGGTTCCTCTGCTGATATTCTCCATTTTCCAGTTGATGTTGTTGAGATAGGTGAAAGACAGGCTAAGATTGGTGAGATTCTCAAGGTGAAGCCCTTGGCTGCTTTAGCTATGATTGACGAAGGGGAACTTGACTGGAAGATTGTTGCTATTTCATTGGATGATCCTCGAGCTTCACTTGTAAATGATGCTGATGATGTCGAGAAACATTTCCCGGTATACTTTTCTTTTGGTGTAAATTTATTTTGAAAATTTGAAATATATCATATCTCTTTACATCAAACTATGAAGCTCTTACATGAATGGTTTGTTGTGTCAGGCTACTAGATTCATGATAACAGACATCCTTGCTCTGTTGCAGATACATGGTTAAATAAATAGTGTTGAGGTTTGGTTTGTATCATATGTTGCCTTAAAATCCTGCAGGTTGTGTAATTTGAAATGTCCTTAGACACCCATAGACTGTGGTCATTTAACTATTTGAACATATGGTGTTCTTTGATCATGCATACTACAATTCTGAGCAAATGGCAGGCTGGTCTATACAAGCCAAAGAATTTTTATGATTTTTTACACTAAATGACTAATTTTGATTTATTTGCAGATTAAAAATTCTCCTGCTAAGATTTAGCAGAATTGAGAAGTTGATCTGCATGTTCACAAATCTATTCACCTTTTTGGTAATTAAGTGAAAATCAGATCAAATTATTTTCTGTATGTTTTAAGATTGTTGGAACCTTCAGGTGGAGATGAGTCAGAAAAGTTACCACACTTTTGTTGTTTATTCTACATTAGGATATTCATCTATATGTAAAGTAACCAAGTCACTGGAAACTTACTAAAGGTTTTCAGGTTGTGTAAAGTTGTTAGAATGGTTATGTTCAACTAAGGTTTAAGTATGGACCTTTGACTTGTTTAGGACTCTAGAGCTTCTGAAAATGCCATGTCCATAGTCCACATCAACTGTTATTCTGTATTAGTGTTTAACAAGTATTTTAGCACATTTCTGAATTTTATGTAGGGCTACCTTGATTCTATCTCGCCAACTACTCTGTGCTTAAGTGCATGTTATACTTTTCTGTGTATTCCAGATTGGATATAATGCATGCAATTAAACAGTATACTGTTATGTTATACCTGCTGAGTTACCATCACCACCAACAACAATGAAGCCATAAAGTCCTAACTATTTGGGTTGGCTACATGGTTCTTTTATCGTCATTGAGATTTATAAAAAAATATATATTTAGTTAAATAAGGAGTATTTAAATGTTTATTTATAGTTTGCATTAAAAACTTTTTAGATCTTAATTATTTCATAAATTGTTGTTGTTGTTGTTGCTGAGCTTTTTATGCTGTTTCGTGAGATATGCTACAAAGTGCAAAAAAGATGTACTGAAATTTCTTGATGACTTTCGGTTGAACATGAGTTTGTATACCATTTACAAGTTCCTGAGACAGCAAAGCAAATTATGGTCATGTTTAAAAAGAAGAGAGTGCTACACTGAAATCTTAGATTCTGTATTAAAGTTCTCGTTTAGTTTGGAGGAAGCTGATTCTACCTACTTTGTAGAAACATTGATGATTGTGTGATTCTGTTGTTGTGTGTAAGTTTCTCTTCTTTCCTTTTATGCATCTTTTAATGGGTAAGTTTATATACTTAGGACCATGTGGAATGCAACCAATGATTGTTATCCATGATATTTTGTGCCTGATTATTTCTTGTCACTGGCTTGCTGTTGCTTCAGGGAACTCTTACTGCTATAAGAGACTGGTTCAGAGACTACAAGATACCGGATGGAAAGCCTGCTAATAGATTTGGTCTTGGCAACAAAGCTGCAAACAAGGTAATTAGTTTATGGTTCTTATGGTCTATAATCTATATATCCCGGTATTAGATTCTGCTATTCGTGTTGCATGCAGCAGTATATTTTTATCATGATGTACTTATTGTTTGAACTTTGAAGGATCCTCGGACATTGTTTTTGTCATTTTTAGCTTGTGTGTGGTAATTTTTGGCTATTTTTTTATGTTAGACCTGTTATATGGTTCATGTACTTCTTTCCTTAAAGGGGGCAGAGTAATACTTTGGATGGATATTTACAATAGTATTGCTTGGTGTTGATATCTGATATCTTGTATCCAATCTCAAAACCATGTGGATAAGCCTTCCAAGAGGAGTAATTGCTCTTTGGGGGTGAATAATGACTCACATACTGATCTCGATGAGGGACAAATTTGATCATTATATCATAATTTCCACACTTAAAATCACTGATGTTATAGTTAGGTTCACTCCTAGTTTACTAGGATTCCTGCAACTTACATGGGTCAGAAGGCCAAAGTCCACCATGTTGCTGCCACCATCCATGATTTCTAAGTTTGTTAGATTAAACATTAACTGGGATGTACAATGGGTTCCAACATGACCCACATACTACTTATGATCGTTGTATTCATACTATATTTATCAAAATCTGAACTTGAAATCACTAGAGTAAAATGTTGTTTTCTTTTTTTGGGATGAACAGTAAAAGATATACTAATCCTGACGTATGCCCTGTTAGATTGGGCTACAAGTTCTAACAGATCCATCTACCTATAGTTTTAATTGAGCACTTTTCAACATCTGCTTGAAGTTGGGCCTTAGAAGTAACTCAAATGCTGGATCAATCCAAATGTTAGTCTTCAGCAATTGTCAACTGGTTCTATCAAAGTCAACCTAGTTTTAACCAAAATAGATTGAGAAACAGAGTATTACCATTTGACAGGGTCATATACTCAATATGGCAGGCACCTGATGATTTTGTGCCGGTCCATTGGCAGAACAGTGTGCACAACTCTTGTTGTGATCTTACTTACGCATGCAAGTCTCAGGCAACTTTCATCTCCATCATGGCCCAGCACTTATATCAGCATAATCTTAGAGTGATACTACTGTGAGGTTTTCTATCAGAAAACCATCCATTGATAGTAACAAGCATTCAACAAACTCTTTATCTACCAGTTACTAAGTAGTCTATATGGGACCCAAGGATATAGCTGATGATCGAAAAATCTTAAAAAAGTTTTGACTTTCCCAGATTCAGAAAGATATTCAGTTCATTCCTGACTGCACATGAATGAACATACTTCTTCTGTCAATATGTAGAGCCTAGCAAAATTTTGGTTAGCACTTGCATTTTCAGCAGCAATTATCCCACCGGGTACATTCATTCCTACTGAATTCTTTTGTTCTTTCTGGTGTTTAGGATTATGCTTTGAAGGTTATTACCGAGACAAATGAGTCATGGGCTAAATTGATGAAAAGATCGGTTGCTGCTGGAGAACTGTCACTGGTATGATTGCCCAAATGAAGAAGCCAGGAGGCTATTTTTTCTATGTTTTCCAAGAGTTTAAATGTGCTATTGCAGATTTTTATTTAAACTGAACCAAAACATGGAATAATTATAGAGTGAATTGCATTCCTTGGGGACAAACTTCTCCGGTTCGACAAATATATGGTGTTCATCTTTTCTTGAGTTCTTTGTCACAAATATATGGTTGTTGTTATTAAAATTCATTGATCTGGCCATAAACCAGTATTGGAAATTAGAGTTCCATATCAGTACATTTGAAGACTATTTTTTGTTATTTTACTTGATGATATCAAGCAAGTATACATGTTCAACATGTACGATCCAGTATAATCTGAAACCTTGATTATTATGATATCAAGGTATAGATTACTCTACTATTATAATTCAAATTAGATCCATTTCTAAATCCCAAAATGGACTCTTTTCGTTATATCATCAATTTTAAGTGGGGAAGATTGTGATATTTCAATAATTTTATTGTTCTACAATAAGGTTAGATGAGACTTTTTTTCTTTGTAATGGATGGTTCCAAGTTTCCATATTATTGCCAATTAAATCACAGATAATGATAAATTAGATTAGCAAGCAATTTTGCAAAATAACAAAATATATTTTGTTTTCTCTCTTTTCTAGTCGTCCATGCGATCGATTCGAGATTAGAGAACTTCTCAATGCGAGTTGTGCTATGTGTGGCATTTTTACAATTAAACCCCTGTATGATGCAGATTTAAGATCAGGATTCGCTGCAGATGACATTTCGGGTCGGGTTTCGGAGTTATAGGGTAGACTGGCACCCGTAGTTTCTCGGATCGTAGCTCCTTATCGGATCCCTCGGCTCTTCTTCTTCCTTCTCTGCCTTGTCGGCTTTGGTCGTTCATTCGTTCGATCAATCATGGGGCTTCTTAGCATCATAAGGAAGATTAAGAAGAAAGAGAAGGAGATGCGAATCCTCATGGTGTACGTGTTTTCGCTTCTCTCCATCCTTCACATTTCACTCACTTTTCTCTCTCTCTCTCCCTCGATGCGTGGTTGGATCGCAGGGGACTGGACAACTCCGGGAAGACTACCATCGTCTTGAAGGTCAATGGCGAGGACACCAGCGTCATCAGCCCCACCTTGGGCTTCAATATCAAGACCATCAAGTACCAAAAGTTAGTCGCCGTCCTAATCTCTCTCTCTCTCTCTCTCACACACACAGATACACACACGCATGCACAAGATGTGACTGTTTGATCTTGATTTGGCCAAAAAATCATAATGGAAGTGAAACTATAAGTCTCCCTCCTTTTGGAAATGGCAAACTAATAAATAATGAAGAAAGTAACATCTTTGTGTGAATTGATGTTGTTTCTCCAAATAAAAAGTGAATCTAAAACGAATATTGTTATCTCCTTTCCAAATGCCATAAAAAGAGGAAAAAAGAATCAAAACTTGGTATTAGATGATCTGGATCTGGTCTTGGTTTTCTGCAGGTACTCCCTCAACATATGGGATGTTGGCGGTCAGAAAACTATTAGGTCCTACTGGCGGAACTACTTCGAGCAGACGGATGGCCTGGTGTGGGTCGTTGATAGCTCTGATGTGCGGAGAATGGATGATTGCAGGTCGGAGCTTGAGAATCTCTTGAAAGAAGAGGTGCGAGATTGATTCAAATATCAATTATGTTTGTTTTCTTATGCTTTTGATTCTTAGCGTGGGTTTATAAGTTTAAATATCTGTCATTTTGTTATTAGTCTTAACTGCTAATTATTATAAGTCTAATGGAAAGAAGTAACATGGTCGGCAAAGGCTACATGCAGATGCTTCTACGATTTGCTTTTGTTACATGAAGTTGGCCATTGAAGTTCTTCTATGCAAAGGATGGGTCTCTGGATCCTACTTTGAGGCTTTTAACTCTGATCCTAGGGTTGGCATTGTTTCCTAGGGAAGAAAATTTCATCCAGACATTGAAGGCAATGCTTTTGATAGTGGCGCACACATAGCACATAACATGTTGGCTCATTTTTCCAAGTTTTAGTTATTATTATTATTAGCCTTCTCATCACTATAGTTACAGGTTATCTAAATGAAATTTTTAAGTAAGAAGTTTATTAATAATTATTCTATATATTTCTTCCATTATATTGGTTTCCTCTTTTATCATCTCTTTACCCTGATGGAAGTTTTATTTATGAAAAATATATTTATTGCATTTGTCAATCGATGGTCAAAACATGGCTGCAGTATTAGGGGTGTGAAAGGGTTGTTCTATAATCATGTTAGTTTTCTTATTCAGGTTTTATCTAAAATGTTCAATTTAACTCAAAATCATTATACTTAGTTTTTGCTGAATGAGCACTATTATTTCATATTTCATTTTGTGCTGTGTCAATCTTCTTGTTTCTTGCAGTAAATCTTTTATGTTGATGTGTTGGGTTTGAATCATGCTCTGTGCTTAAGATTGGCACCACAAATATCCATCGTCAGCAATGGCACAGCTTAATTTGAAGATATTCTTGTTTCACCATTTTCTATTCTTCACCTATAGTCAACTTGGAGATCGTTATATATCTCTAAACATGAAAAAGTCAAGCATGGTTTAATTGTACAGAGACATATAATTAACTTGGTGTAATTACTTGTGATTTGTGCAGTTGGAACTTACATTGACTTAACATTTGATGCAATGAAAAGAAGAAATATTGTTTTACACTTTTGTATTCGCTTGAGTTTTTCCTGATATTAGTGTTAAATATTGACACATGCTGTGTGTGTGCCAGCAGAAAAATCAAGCTGATAAATATTCTAAGCACTTTGCCCATTCAAAGTTGAAGCATATCTTCTCATGATAGTATTTGTACGATGCACAAGATAGCTAGTTACTTTAAGTTTATGGGTGTGAGTATGCCACTAGATCAATTTCTATGCCTTTTTTTGGGCTTCATCTGTTGGCTGTTGTATTTGTGGGAGATATTTTATTTTGCTTATGCAGCATCTAATTTAATCACCCAGCTCCAATATGGTTGAACATGAGACCTTTTGTAGAATATGCTGATTGGAAACATAAATCCATTTCAACAATCAATGTGGATAATAAGATGTTGTAAAGTAGCAAATTTACTGTGACGTAAAGGCTTGTCCTTACCACTATCATATAGCAACCAAGATAGCCTTCATATATACAGTGTCTAATTTAATCACCCAGATCTCATTTGGTTGAACATGAGACCTTTTGTAGAATATACTGATATGAAACATAAATCCATTTCAATAATCAATTCAAATCATAAGATGTCAGTGTGGCTCATGATGTCAACTGTCAAGGCAGACAATCTGCCTTTGAAAGGTTGTATTGTTTGATAGAGGGCATGAAATGTTAATCGATATTCAACTTCATGGAAGTTTTTTTTGATGTGAAGGCTGAAATGCAAGACACCTTAAATCTGTGCCTCCCAGAATAGGTCAATGACATGAGATTGCTTTGTATCTTATTCCTTGATGTTGTCTTTAGAAATTTAAGTTTCTATTTGGAACACATTTTTCATGCGGCTATCACAAAAAATTAGTAGAACTCAACGCTCGTTTCCTTATTTCTTTTGTGGATATTTAGTGGATAAAATATCTAATGGATAAATCTTCTGTGGTTTTGACAGAGGCTATCAGGGGCATCTTTGTTGATCTTTGCAAATAAGCAGGATATCCAAGGTGCTCTCAAGCCAGCAGATATAGTCAAAGTAAGATTACAGATGATATCCATGTGTTGCATTTGGCATTTAATCTTTTGGATCTTTGAAGGGTCTTCTTTCTAAATGTGTAAACATGACATATAGTTGTAAAGGTCAAAATAGATCAAACCGGCTTGGGTTCAGACTCGGCTTGGATTGATGTTGATGTTGGATTTGAAGGCTACATAAGGCTGATCCAAATCAGATCTAATTCTCTGAAAGGGGGGCAGTTTCACCTTTTTTCTCATAGGGCATGGTGCAATTATCCGAGCTAAGTAGGGGCTTTCCGCCCAGAGAATGTGTTTTCCCAAGCAGACTGAAGCAATATGGGCCTTGAGAGCTCTGTGCTTAGCTTGTCCTCCAAAGACCTGCCACATTGCCAGACAGCTTCTAAAGTTTCTAGAATTGTCTGGGAACATTTGTACCAATTTTAGATAGTCTTTTGTCTTTATTTTTGAGTAATACGAATTTTCTTGTGTTAAAACCTTAATTAATTACGGCAGGTCAAGCCTTCAGACTTGGACCAGAGCTTTGAACCAAATGGTAAGGTTAAATGTGTTGAGTTGCGTTGGGTTATTGGCTTGAGAAGTCGTCACCACCCTTACCTTTACCTGAGGAAACTTGAAGATATATGCTTACACTGCAATATTTCTGTATCTTTTATATCATCTATTAGCAACAGCTAGGTTAAATCAAACATGCTGATTGTGCATTTCATCAGTAAGACTTCTGTAACATCTTTATATTTCCCTTTTCCCTCTTCTAATATTTTTTATTTTGTGGATCATTCAATTTGATAAATATTATGATAGATTTTTGGAAATGAGCTTTGTGGAACTGCAAGGTCTAGTTTATTGAATCTCATTATTTTTCTTGAATAATGTCAAATCATACTTGATGCAGTCTTCTCATTCCCAGTATTTCTTGTTGGTCAAGAATCTGGCTGTATTCTCTTGTTGAGCTTCAAAGTTGGCATTAAATTTTTTCAATTACACTTGATGCATTCTTCTCATTCCAGTATTCTTTTTTGGTCAGGATTTTGGCTGTATCCTCTTAATGAGCTTCAAAACTGGCACTAAGTCAGCTATTAAATATTTAAATTCAAGTGTCATTGCTCCTCTTCGATAATATGATCTCCATTTGTTCAGGTGCTAAATTTAGATGCCATGGACAAAACCAGGCATTGGCAAATTGTGGGATGTAGTGCCTATACCGGGGAAGGTTTGCTCAGGGGATTTGATTGGCTGGTGCAAGATATTGCTTCTCGGATATATATGCTCGACTGAGAATGATATATGGATTGTGTTACGATATGGCAGGATAAAATCTTCGACAAAATCCCTATTCTTCAAGCAATCCTACGTATGCTCTGAGAGTTGGACCACCGATATTTTAATCAAAGATGATGACATCTTTACATTTTCTTTTCTTTGATATTTGTGCAACAAACTATGGTGCCATCATCATGACACTTGAGCAAAATGGCCTTCAGTATTTTCTTGTATTTGCTTTGGAGATGATATCATGATAATGAAAGGTTGGTATTGTGTGTGGTCTTCTTGAAACTTGTTCCTAAAGTTTATTTGGATGAATCTTCTGGCATCTATCTTACAAAATTATGTATAACTCATTATATCAATCCTTATAATGTAGCTAGCCATTATGCCCTATACACAAAAGGTTTTCTTATGAGCATTCATCATCTGTAGTGTATTTAACATGTTAGTGTTAGCTGCTACTTTCCAAACTTTGTATTAGAAGGAAGACATAATGTCACTTTCCAACCTTTGTTTTAGAGAGTAAAGGATGTCAGATGTAACATGTCATGTAGTAGAATGCTTAACTGGCAGTTTGTAAAATCTGGATGCTTGTGCTTGCATAAATAAGCTAATGTAGTATTTGCAAATGCAGGCTATCTTGTCCAAATCTCTGCATTTGCAAATCCTCTTTACATAGCTGCTTGAGTTCATAGGAGACATGATCATCCCCCAACTCATAATTTTGTCATGGTATAAGAGTCGATGCTACTCACTCATGCATGTGCCAACCTTAGTATCTCATTATGAGTGTTTATTTGTGATGTAGATGATTAGAATTGGAATTGTGGGAACAATCTTTTTGTTCCCAAGAGTGAGACCAGCTTTATTGACCCTCACAAACCCCTCATTGATGGGAGCCTTGTGCTGTGTCTGGGCTTTAACTTTTTCAGACAAGGGATGTTAGAACTTCTATGAGTTCTCCCATTACTATCAACTTAATATCTACACTAAGAAAGGATGCAAACCATAGGTGATCATTCTTCTGCTTTCAGTGTCATCTTCAGTTTGCTACTTGTTTACTGCACATTATGTTTCTTCATCATCTCTTTGAGTCGTGTATGTCTATGTGTGTGTGATCAGATTTTATTTACAAGTGATATTGAGCAAGTTTGGGTGAATTGGGAATTGAAGCCTTTGTTGATCATCTCTCCCCTACATCATGGAGTACATGAGGTTGAGTTTATGTTTTCATCTACAAATATGTGATGAATTATTTGTCATTGTATTTTCCTTTTTATCTTACCATATTTCGAAATGTGGGGATTGCTAAGTAGATTGTAGTATACATTTGTTTAAATATAAATATATTGCAAACATTGCATAAGCGCCTGTAGCTCAGTGGATAGAGCGTCTGTTTCCTAAGCAGAAAGTCGTAGGTTCGACCCCTACCTGGCGCGAAACTAATTCTTTTTTGTATTCCGAATAAAATAATTTATTTCTTTTTTTAGAAATACTTCTTTTTATTTTTATTAAAATACTTTTTAAATAAAAAATACTCTTACTAAATTTTTATGATAAAAAATAATGAAGAAAAGATTCTATCAAATGATAAATGATGAAAGTAAGATTGACTAATAATAATTGATAATAATATTTTTTGAGTTTTTATTGAAACTCGGTGCTAACTCAATTTTAATTACTTGAAATTATCATAAATCTTAATTAATAATAATAATATTACTATTATATATTAAAATTTCATAAGATATTATATTTGAGAGTTTAAAATGATATTGATTGAAAATTTAGAATACTTTGATATATTTCAAAATAAAGTATGATAATTTTTATTTTCATTTATTGATAATGAATGGTAATAAATAAGAAACGTTCTCGGTTATAATATTTTTATCACTAAATTAAAACTATGACTAAGTTTTAATTAATTGAATTTTCTACTAATCATGATTATCAAGGTTGCTATAAGTTTCGAGGTATTATAAAATAACTTATATGAGACTTGGAATGGCTTTCATGAAGGTTTTAATATATTATATATATATATATATATATATATATTTATATATATAAAGTTTTCCCAAGCACAAGGTGGCATGGGAGTGTGTGATCGACGTACTATGACCATGCCATGTACGTGACAGTGGTGATTAGGGAACGTGGCGTCTCATAGAGAGATGTGATATGTATCTATATGTACGTATATTGAATATCCAACATAATATAGAGAAGTATTTTGAAGTATTCGAGGTACATATAAATAGTAGAGTATTAAGCCAAATGTGTCGCAATCAAACATAAACTCTTCGTTGACCTTTTCGTATGGAACCGTTCAAAACGTTCGATCATAATCAAAGAAGAATAAGTTCAGAGGTTGTGTTTGAGTTGCCATTTCTTTTCTCAAGTTGGATGGGAGTCAAACCAGTGGTGGGTTGATAGTTCCATTCCATCTTTGCCACCTAAATTGATTATAACATATTTTAATTAATTCACAAATTACTAAATGATAACGTAAAGAAGAAGCATGAGATAAAAACAGCAGAGAGAATTGTTCTTTTTATTCTGTGTATTTTTTTATATATAAATTTACTTTAACTTTTATGCCATATATATATATATATATATATATATATATATATATATATATATATATATATATATATATGAACATTTGTAGGCAAGGCATATGTTATTATTAATTATTAATTATTTTTCATCAAATTCGTTGTTAGAATAATGAATACATGAGAACTAAATATGAATGTTTACAAAATTGTTATATATCAACAATGCAAGTATGTGAATATATATATATATATATATATATATATATATATATATATATATATATATATATATATATAGTTTTGAGAAATTTTGATGAAGCATCCTAACTTAAAAATAAAAACTACAAATTTTCTTTTCATAAATGATGATTTTATCCTTGATTACCTTCGTCGTTGGTTACTGACCGTCTCTACCATACCTACGCTCTTATCACTAATTGTGTCAATCCGAATCATCTCTATTGTTGGTCGAATCTATACGCTACCCATGTTAGTCTGATCATACTTATAAAAAAAAGGTGGAAAGAAGAAGTTGTGATCGAAAAATAAGAGGGCATGAGCATAAGATAGGGCAAGGGTGGTGAGGGAAGAGTGGGCAAGTGATAGGCGATTGTTTGGGATGATAACATTGTCAAGTGTGCAAGTCAACCCATGCACGAAGTCATATGTAGTCAGAGAACTCTTATCTTTATTGTGATGGAAGAGGAGTTAAGTCGAAAGGACAAGACGAAAGCTACGATAAGTTTAAAGGAGATAAGAGTAAAATGATTTTTTGATATAAGAAAGGATGTTGCATGAGAATTTTTAGAAGTCAGAGACTTAGTAAATTTTTTTTTTAACTAGAGATTTTTTTAAGAATTCTCCCATATATTTATTTATTTATTTATTTATTACATGTAAAAGGTCAAGATGTTAGAGTAGATATAATATCAAAATTTAGAAGGGTATATATGTTCTTTAAAGGCTTTAAAGAGGCTAAGCATGTAAAACTCTCCGACTTTAATTACCCCCATAAACTCTTCCTTAATAAAGAAATCGTAGATTAAATGGATCGCTTCGACGGTGGTTGGGTGCAGATCCCCGTCGGTGCCCGTATAATATATATATAACCAGCAAGCCAAATGGACGGCTGATACACGGGCAAGGCGGTGGGCTCCGCAAGAAAGTACACAAACGGACGGTGTATACGAGCGTTGGAGCGGTGGGGCCCCGAAGCTTAATTAACTAATACCCGCTCTTCACCCCAAGAATTCGTACCTCTCCGACGCCTGAGCCGAATTATTACGCCGCGTCTTTAACGCCACCTCCGTCGCTTTAAAGGAATCTTCTTGCTCTTTTGCTGCCGCAGCTGCCGCCTTCTGAGCCCTGCCTTCGATTCCATTCCCGGTGACGCTTTCGTCTCTTTCCGAAGAAGACCGGCGGAATAAAGAGGGCCCTCTTTTCGGGTCACGCGACTCCCGAGTCCCCTCTCTTTACGGTTCCCCTCGGGAAGTTTCTCCCGAACGCGAAGGCGTAATCCGGAGGCGATGGTTGGGGGATCGGACGAGGGGTTCTTGGCGTCCTGCGATACGGTTTTCGATCGGTTGTAGAGGCGAAAGGAGCCTTCTTTTTCTGTTTCTTTGGGTCGATTCTTGCGTGCTTGGTGGTTAATTTGGGTTGTGGGTGTTTGTGGTGATTGCTGGTGACGGGATGGGGCCCCTCGATTCCTTTTGCGTAGTCGATTCTTGGTGATTTTTGGTTTAGGAATTCTATGATTTGGGGTGTTTTGGGCTTCGTAATCGTGGGTTTGGATCAATTGGTGTTAAGATCTAAGTGGACGAGCAGGAAGCTGCGATTTCTCCGGTAAGGATTTTAGAGTTGGGTTGATTTGGAAGGAGTGGCTGACAGATTCTCTGAAAATTTGGCTTTTGGTTCCGTGTTGGATTTGGTGAGTTATGAGTTAATTCTTTGGTTCAACACGGATGAACGCTGAGAAATAGTTCTTTTTTTTAATCGAAAAAGAAGTTATTTTTTGTGTGTGTTTTCCAAGGGTTTAGAAGACACGGAAGCTGAAAAATGGAGAACATGAATAGCTTTGAAGAATTGTTCGATAATTCCGATGTAGAAGATGAATTCCAAAGCTGTTGTACAGAAGACGAGGAGTGGCAGGACACGGAGGAATCTTTGGCCGAAGGGTTCAAGGATGAACTCGATGAACTCTCGTTAAGGATGTTCTTCAAGGGTGTCTCTGCCTCGGATTTGCACAGTAAAGAATCTAGGGTTTCTGGAATTGGAGTAGTAATGGAAAGGTCTCCTGGGATTCCCTTAATTCAAGTGCAGAAGAAGCTCGATTTCCATGTAGAAGCATTGGTGGCCGAGCACTTGGCACTGATGGATGGTCTATTGGCAGCTCTGCAGAATGGTGCCCGAAGGCTCTATGCGTTCACGGATTCAGAGAAAGTTTATTATCAGGCAAGGAATAGACTAACCAAGAAAACGAGAAACCTGTGTTGACTGCAACTCGATTTTGTATCGGTATTTCTTATGATGTAGTTTAGGAAAAGATAATTATAAATTTTGTGTTTGCTTAAACAGGCACCAGATGATTCTATTGCACCATAGTTTGACAGCTTATTTTCAGAATATTGATTTGTATTTCTGTGCTCCACTCCCTGATCTCCATTTAGGTTTAGTATTGCATGTGAGAAAATTGTGTTAGTCTCCTTGTATTGTCATACTCCTCACACAACAATAGTTGAATGAACATTCTAATTCTTATTTTCTGCTTCCCTCACCTTTTTTGTGTTGAGATTTATACAAATTTTTTTTTGTTGCATTTCAGTGTCATATATTTCTATATTGTGGGATGGATAAATGAGATTAGTTGTTTAAATATTTTTGCAGATAGCAGAAACAGAAATACTTGATGACCAACTTTTGGTAGCTCTAGGACACAGAATTCTAGAACTTGCTGATCAACTAGAAGATTTTGACTTACAACTTGTTTCTAGTTTTGAACTAGAGAGGCCATTGCGCTTGGCCAAAGAAGCAATTGGTGACTGTGCAATGGACACTTGTTCTATCTGTAGTGAGGAAAAGATAAGTTCCAAGATGATAAAGATAAATTGTTCCCACAAATTTTGTTCTGATTGCATGTTTATATATGTTGAACACAAGTTAAGGACCTTACAGGTTCCTATAAGATGCCCACAAGCGAGATGCAGAAATTTTATTTCAGTCAGTGAGTGCAAGCCCTTTCTTCCTGTTGCTAGTTATAAGTTGCTAGAGAGAGTTGCAATGGAAGCAGATGCTCATAATGGAGACCGAATCTTTTGCCCGTTTCAGAATTGTTCAGGGTTGATCAATTGTGTCAATCATTTGTCTTCTAGAGCAAGCTCATCAACTCAGCCAGACATCAACTGTGTTGAGTGCCCAGAGTGTCACAGAGATATATGTATTGGCTGTCGTGTACCATGGCATTCTTTGATGACATGTGATGAGTATCAGAACCTACCTGCAGAAGAGAGAGATGCAGGGGATATCACTTTGCATCAATTGGCACAAAATGCTAGGCAGAGACGCTGCCAGCAGTGCAGGCAAATGATTGAGCTCGCAGATGGGGGCTACCACATGACCTGCTGGTACATCAACTATGCTTTATGATATGAACTATTTTCTGAGAATTAATGGTCAAAGTTGAATGAATACCAAGTTTTGAAGTTCTTTAATTGCATAAGATTATTGATTTATGCATATATCAGTCAGAGTATTTACTGTAGGAAATTTTGTTGGCCTTTTGACATGAGATGTCTTCTCTTTAATCCATATCATTATGATATAGTAACACCTATCTTTCTTTCATGCATGGCATACGTTTACTAGCGGTTTGTTTAAATACAATACCTGAATTTCCTAACTGTAACTGGTCCTTTTCTTGATGTTCCTGTATGAATGCATGCACTAGACTTCTTGGAACATGATTTATGTTCTCTAACAACATCGTATCTTTGCTGTCTAAAATCATTTGACTGCTTCTATACAAAGGCACTCTTGAGTCATTTTACCAATTTCTTATTGCCACAAAATAGATAGTTATGTACATCTCATAGAACTGACGGCCCCTCAAACTTTCTTCATAGCTGGTATTCTCATTATGTTATTCTATCTAGATGTCAATGGATAACTAAACAATGCCTTCTTAATGGTGGATATATGTAATTGGTCTTCTTTAATTCTGATTGGAGGGAACAATCTATCCTAGGACTTATATCCAAACTCTTGGTCTCCAGTTTAGGAGCTGTGATAACTGTAACTTGGAAATGGAGATAAAAAACATTACTTAATATGATTTTTTATTTACTTTAAGTTGGGCTTAAATTTTTGTTTGGTATTAGTGCCTTCATGAAGTCCTAAAAGTGGCTTTCTGGAAAATCTGGTAATATTTTCTGGAAAAGAGAAGGAAGTATCAAAGGTCAACTTAGGTCGTTTGTGAAATGCTACAATTGCAAACATATATAACTTTGAAGCACAGAAATTAATTTAATATGCACCTAAATTTAGATAACTTTGATTTAATCAGTCACCAATGTGTCAGTAACAGGAAATTGTTTTTGGCTTCATAATGGTAGGTATTAATGCTCCTTGTACATCAACCGTGCTGTTTGGTTGCTGCTGGTCCAAAAATTGCTAATGAGCTGTTAGTTTGCCGCAATGAGATCTTTTGAACTTCTATAAATCATAATAATCGTAGAAGAATGAAAATTTCTATACTTCTTTGCATAATTTCATCACTAGAAAATTAACATTTTATATATATGAAAAGCATGGACATGATACAAACATCGAAACAGCATAATAGAGAGGTGTCAATGTTGCAAATATTATTGTAGTGCAAACTTAGGGAGCCAGTTTCTTTTACTTTTCATTTTTTCACTATTTGTACACTGCTGCGTCAATCGAACATTTTAATTACCGGTAAGGAAACAGATGCAGCAAGTACAGGCAGACACATGCTTGCACAAAGGAATTCCGTGGTAAATGCATAGGAGTAAAGGATAAAATGTTTTTTCTTGAATAATGGAGAAATAAATATCATTTTGAACTTCCTGTGGTCACTGCTATTAGATTTTGTTTTGAGAAGAGAATTATTATCGACCAATTTTCTTCTATTTATCGGTATGCTAATATTTATAAACATCTAATGAGCTTGGAGCCAAGGATATCTTTGTAGGTCTGAAATTCATCCTTGAGTATGTCATAGGAGACTGTTAAACTTTGAAATTTTGTTTTCTTATTGAGTCATGAAGAAATACGTATCATTTTAAACTTCCATGGTCACTGCTATTTGATTTTGTTCTGAGAAGATAATTGTTATCGACCATTGTTCTTCTATCATGTGCATCCTAGTATTTATAAATGTCTGATGAGCTGTGAGGCAAGGGTTTGTTTATAGTTTAAAAAATTTACTCGAGTATGTCCGATGAGACAGTTGAACTATAAAATTTTCTATTAGGTAGAGTTGATTTACATGGTTGAGTATCATGAAAGATTTGTCTAGATCTCTATAATGCTACAAGGAAGAATTGATGTGTGACCTGGATCTATGTTTATTCCTTGTATTCTTCCTTTGTTTATTTAATTTTTTGGAAACGGTTGGTAAGCTTTCAGAGAACTTCCTATAAAAATTTCCATATGTTACAAGTGCTGTAAGGTCCGCTTAGAGTGAATTAATTTTGAGAGACCTTTTGTCTATCTGTAACTTTTGAGCCTAATTATCTTTATATTGGCCTGACTTTCATAATTGTTTTCTTTTCCAATGCACAAAATCTTGAAGCATTGTCAAGATATTTTTTTAACTTATATTCTTGGATAATTGGAATCAAATAGGATTGACTAATGAGTTAACTTTTCACCTGTTAGTGCTCGACTGTTGTCAAACCGATAATATGAAGTCTGTCTGTTTCACCATTTCTTTCTTTACTAGTCCTTTCTGTTCTGATCAATCATATATAGATACATCAAACTGTTAGTGGCTTGTTATCTTGAAACTTGCCTCCTTTCATTTCTCAGAGACTTATAGTGGTTTTCTTCCATAGGCTCTTCTGTTTGTCAGTTTGAAACAGCAAATAGTTACAACTTAAGCAATCAACTGTTTAACATCATTTTCGTGTTGGTAATGTCAGGTGCGGGCATGAGTTCTGCTATTTATGTGGTGCTGAATATAGGAATGGGATTCAGACATGTCAATGTGCCTTTTGGGGTGAGAATAGCCTGGAATCCTCTGCAACGTCGAATCACGAGTCAGAGCTGTGGACTTGGGAGTCTTTTGATTCTCTGCCGACGGTTATGGATGAGTACTCGGAGCAAGAAAGAGCACAACTGGCTCTGATACAAAGGTTTCTTGCTGGAGGATTCAGCCTTAGTGAACTCCACCACCCTTCCCAATCACCCCCTCGGTGTTCTGACTCATACATGGATACCATGAGAGACCTCCACCAGCTCCCATGGCTCGAGAGGTTTGTATCTGTGATTAGTGATAGCTACCATGAGGATTTTGTCCAGTGAATTCAGTTCGGCATCCTGCTGCACACTGATTCTGTCTAATAAATGCTGGCATTTCTCAAAACACGGGGTAAAGGCGTACAGGTGAATGTACAAACTCTTACCTCATAATATATAGGGTTTGCTATCAAAATATTTGGTGCTTTGGAGACTGTTGTTGATAAGTAGTATGCTTGTAATGGAAGTCATATTCTAGAATCTAGGAAATGTGGTACTGTGTGAAGGTTTGGTGAAGAGTGGCTTCCATTGAGTTAATTAATTGATACTCTTCCTAGATTATCTTATTAGATACAAACAGGAGTATTTTAACCTTATTGTCATTACAAAACAAGCAAAAAGTTTGAGTCGAAGAGACGAGGAAAAATTAAGCTGAGACAAATTTGGTCGTGATCCCGGAGAAAAGAATCTTTTACCAAAGGCTCATTTTTCATATCAGCAGTTATTATTTTCTTTAAAACTGTGATAGCATCAAAATAGGAATAGAAATTGAAAATTTTCATCCAAGTACATGTGTATTAACTGATTGGAGACTCGAAATCATGGGCTCGTAGCTATTTTTATTGTCAACTTAATTCATCAGGTTCTCTTGGAGAAATGAAAATATTATCACAATTATGATACATTCCCTCCAGCTAATTCTAGTCGTAAGGTTTGTGATGTTATTGCCCTATTATAGCACATTCACACTCAGATCTATGTATTGTCCTATTTTTATAGTCAAACTTTGTGATGTTATTGTCCTATTTATCACACAGATCAGTTGGATCATATTGTCTGACCTGACAACCATATGCTTTTAAGCTTTACTGGGAACAAGATTTCAACTTTTCTTTCACTCTGTGATGGATCAGAATCATGTTCTCTGCCATTCATCCTAGTAATTGGTCACTGAATAGTTGGTCAGTCAGTACAGTCCTTGAGCAGGGCCTGCATGATTCATTAAAGCAACTTGTGAAAGTGACAAGCCAGGCTTTCTCACCTAATGCATCTATTTCCTCCCAAGTGAAGGTGCCACTCAATAGTGTTCTTAACTTACTGATGCAGCTGAAAAGCAAGTCCATCAATGAGAGATTCCTGGTTTTTAGTTGATCATATAATCCATGTATGCTTTGTTATCATATGGTTTCTTTTCATGATAACATAAATCATGTTCAGAACTACACCCTTGATTTTTCCACATGGAAGAATATGGAATATAAGGATCAGCTTTTTTTTCTTATACTATCTCCCTCTCCATGTGCTTCATAAACAAGTTAGGAGAGCATATCTTGCCTAGTTTTGTCTATACAACTTAAAAAAAGTATATTTTAGAATGTTCTTAAGCAATCATACATGGACTATGACCACTTGCTGTTCTATTATACTTTTTGGTGAACAGGTTGGCTAGTGGCAGACAAGGCTGACAGATGATGAGGGAAATCATCCTTAAAAGTGCCCCATATGTGATCCTATTCTTCCTGTAAGTAGCCAAGGAACAATGGTAATGAAATGTTCTCAACCTAACACAAAACAAAGTCATAGATAACCCTAGATTTGTTGCTGTGTGTGCTCAGCAGGAGAATGGGCAATAAATAATTACATCAACTACTCCTTTTATATAAGAGATAGTTATCACAATGTTCTTAAAAGTTATTTGCCCAACTGAGTGCAAACAGAAGGTACCTTAATAATTGAGCACTTTATATCCTGTGAATAGTTGCAGTTCTGGTGCACTTGTCCTTGGATGTCTGCTCCAAGATGGCTTTCTTGACCAAGAAAAGATTAGCAATGAGGACATCCTATGATGAATTCTCAGTATCTTTTTCTCAAACTTGCCCCTGCCTCCCATCTTCCTCTCTCCAATACATCTTCTACTTGATACCAATAGAGTAAAAGAAACACACTCACTGACTGCAATTTTACACATCTGAAAGTTAATAGAATGTCCTCAGGAATTAGAAGTGCTTCTCAATTTCATAAATTTTTCTCAAGAATTATTAGGATCATCTGTTGATTGGACTGAATGATTTTTCCATGAGTTGATAAGGATATATATATATATATATATATACATAGAGTAAATGAGAAGGCCTCTATATTCCTAATGCTCAATAAGGAGCTGCTGTAATTGTTGGAATCTGTTGTATGTCTACACCATATGTTTTAGTAGCTACTCTATGCTTTTAAAAATATTTCTGATATAAATCACACAGAACCAACTACAAGGAAACAAATGTTTACAATTATAGCATAAATAATATGTAGTATTGTACTATGAAAAATATGATATATATATATATATATATATATATATATATATATACACACACACACACTTTATAAACAATATTCTTTTGTTCAATTTCATTTCTTTTATTATATATATTTATTTATCTTTATACCTAATATGACTACACAAAATAATTGAAGTAAAATACATAAAACTAAGGAGGAGACAGAATGATGACTAATATAGTGTGACTAATAAAAGGTGGAGCAAAAGGGTGTGTTGATATTTTTTAGAAAGAGGAGGTGCTAAGATGGAATAATATTTTATTTGGAAATTAATATTGTTCCCATTACTAACGCATGCATCATATGCTAATTTTCAATTTTAGCTATATATATAAATATAAATAAATTAAAAGAAATATGAAGGTCTTTTTCCAAAAATTTCTCAAAGAAAAGAAAAGAAAAAGAAAAAGAAAAGAAAGCTTCAACATTTAATTTAAATTTTAATTTAGTTAAATTCAAATAATAATAAATAAATGGCAGGGAATACTCTCTCGTCTCGTCTTTCCCATCGCGAGCGAGTGCTCTCTTAGTCCGTAATGTAAATGTAGTTTATGATTGGGGCGTTGTCCGTCGTGAATGCCCCCTCCGTCTCCGATCCAAACCCTTGATTTGATTTCCTCTCTTTTCCGTCCCGATCCGCAAATCCCACAAGCGGTCTCCGCTTGTTTCGCGGTCTCGAACGAAATCTTCCGTGGAATTTCGTTCATTCCATCGATTTTCTTGGTTTGCTTTCGGTTCTTCTTCATGCCTTGTTCTCCCGCTTAAATTCTCTTCATTGATGTTCCTAGTGCTTATCTGAATCTTGAGGTATGCGAATGGTTGCGATATATGTTTGTAGTTGTTGTTTCTAACGGTGTGTAAATGGTTCTGCCCTCTTTTGTGTCTTTCCGTCTTTTTCCTTCCTCGTTCCATGTTGGTAGGTTTATGTGCTAATTTCTTTCGAAATTTGATCTTGCTTGTGGGCCTTCTTTGATAGCTATGGCCTGTTTTGTTTAGCTTTACAGATGAAGCCTCGATGTACGCTGTTCTCTTTGACAAGCAGTCGTTGGAGAGCTGTGTGCTACATTTTATAGAGATAGTCTGACATGTACTGGTAGCAGACTCTGTAGGTTTTTGTGTTGGGTTTTAACTGCTTATGTACCCATATTGAGTTGAACTGAGATGGAAAGGCCAGTCAATTCCAACTGGCTGTTCTATCTAAATTTGTAAGAGTTCAACCGAGATGTTGAATCATGGAAGATAATAAAAGATGAAAATTGCCCTTAGTTTTGATGTCACTGAAAGTAGATTAAAAATTTCAGTATAAATGTGGTATCTCGGGATACACATTCAACACTAGATATGTTGATGTAATTTGTAAATGTATTATAAGTGTGGGTTCTGGTAAGGATCAATCTTCACAAATTTAAATTAGGAAATACATTTAGTTAAGAAAAAGGTTGGGTTGGCTTTGACAACTCTGATTTTGGCTGAAAATAAGCATATGACATGTATCCTTTTTTTTATTTAACTGCTATAATACTTTTAAAAATGAGGGCCAACAAAATTGTACATGTTGGTATTTTAACTCTCACCAATCTTTAATTTTTACAATTAATTATTTTAAGGAAATTTTTGTTGTAATGTACTAAGTGATGGTTTTTTCTTTATCAACTGTCTTTTTTCATGTGCTTAAATGAACATCATAATACACACTACTTAAATGGGGTTACTTTTGTCTTTCTATTCTATGCCATCTCAGAGATAAACAAAGATTATGTGATGGTCAAAAATGCATATTACTTTATTTTTGTTGGTTTTTATTTCAGCCAAGAACAGCGTATGAAGTATCATTCAGTTCTGTCCAAGATTTTTAAGGCTTACAAGATAAAGATTCCTGGAAATTCAGTGCTGAGGCATCTATGAATTAAGCTTAAGCATCGTAACCCCACTTCAGCTACTTTTGTTTTTTGAATCTTATGTCTATCTCATCTTTTTCACTCTCCCTAGAGTCTCAACTTCACCCTCCAGGTGCTGCTTTCTCCTAAGCTTGTGAAGTTGAATTTTCTTATTTTATAATAAACCAGTACATGATATTTTCTTTATCAAATTTATGGTCTTTTCTTTTTGGGTGCTGTAACAGAAAATCTCGCATGGGCTAAATTGGGAGAGATTAAGTGATTATATTTGGTATGGATTTGAAATATTGCCTTTATGGTTACATATGGGATAGGCTATTGGCTCCCCGGGCCCTATTTGCATGAGGTCTTCGTAATGCTGTGTAGATCCACAATCATGCCAGAATTGTGACAGGTGGCTTTTGATGAGTTTAGGTAACAGATGGACATAAGGTGTTTTATGACATAATGGACACAAGATCATCCATCTCTACTCCGTTTTTACATTGGGGGTGAGATTTTTTAGCAATAACAATCATTATCTACTGTGTGTTTTATGACATAATCTAACCATCAATCATCCTCTCTAGATCCTGCATCAATCTTTAAATTTCTGTACATCGATTCTAAGCAATCAAGTTTCTTCCAATGCAGGATCTATAGAGTATCAATATATGGAAATTCAAAATTGGATTGTTTGTGAACACAAAAGATCCATATCCCATTGCCTTGTCCATATATCATTTGGTGTTTGAAAGTTTAGTCAGTTTTAAAGTAGTTACAATGATCTCATATCAATTAGACTCGACACATTGTTTGATGATTTTGATTGTATTAATTTCTTGATCATATTTTAACAAACATCACTCTGCTGATAATTTGTATGCTTTTGAAAGTTCAATATTAGAAGGAAAAGAAAAACTTCCCTTTTGAATCTTGTCTCATCATTGTCAAAACAATATGTATTCAAGAAATAAACTTGCACAAATGGTATGCATCCGCAATATCATCCCAAAATACTAATTTAACCCTCTCGAAATCAGTGATGATGTTGTTTTTTTTAGTTTGTTAACTGAATATTTCTCCTCTTTATGAATAACAAGATCCTGTCACGTGTACAAGATCAAATCCTGAATCAGTTCACAGCCATCTTGTTTCAAGTAGATGTGACATATTCTTTGTTGATTTTGATTTGTAATTCTTGATTACAACTCAACACAACCATCATGTTGCTAATATTTATTTTCTTGGCTTTCCTAGCTTTTCCTGTCTATGTCACTTTTTGAAAGAACTATTGGCACTGTTTATAAAACTTGGAAGAACCAAAGTATTCATTCTTGATTATAACTCGACACGAGTTCATGTTGCTGGTTATTGATTTTTTTTCTTTCCTAGCTTTTCCCATCTATATCATTTGTTAGAACTACTATTGCCCCATAAAATTTATGAATCACCAAGGAGGAGCCTTCAATGTCAGGGAGTGTATTACCCTTTGCATGCTAGTAAGAATAAATGCTGTTGATGTCAGTCTCGACTGAGTCAATCTATTGTTTGGTGGGAGAATTCAGTCTTTCTCTCTTTCTTTTAGGCCAGTCCCTAGCCGTATGGGAGCTAGGAAGTATGAAGCATGCAAGTTTGAAGTATGGGGATCTTCTGTTGACGATGAAATTTTGTTGTAGTTTGTAGAATATATTTTCATGCATAATACTTCAATATACTGAACTGACAGAATTTGACCATGAAGTTTCATACTGCACGCTTTCAGAGCATAAATGAAAAGAGACATTTCAGCTTTAGTGTCTGGTGGAGGGCCACAATCAGGCACCGAGAGATCATGATCGAGTGTTTATTGACAAAGATTGCTAATCTGTCATAGTATTGCTATATAAAAATATTAATCTATTGATCTTCGCTTTCCTCATGCAGGAGATGGAAACTCTGTGAGCCCACCACTGCAATGCTTGATGGATGTCCAATTGTTTCTTGTTCAAGTTGTCCAACATTGATTGTGCCCCCTCTCAACTCACAGGATCACAGCAAAATCCTTCTTTGGTACATCTCTAGATTGCTCTTTTTCTTGCTCTCTCTAGATTATTTATATAACTTGTTAGTTCATTGATCATAAACACTTTTACTTCCTAAGTTGTGCTATATCCATGTCTCGTCAAAGGAGTTTTGATCAAAACATATAATCTATATAAAAATCTGTGAAAACAAATGGCATTTAAGTTTTTGCATCTCTCCTTGGTTATGCATGTCAAAAAAATGTTCTGTATCCTAGATAAACATGGCCTGAAATGTTAGGAATACTAGCATAGTCAGTTAGCCTAAAATTTTCAATCTTATTTTTGTACTAAGGCTAGTCCTCTAGCATACAAGAACGATGATATTAGATATGTAAGAAATTTCTCACAAGATAGTGTCTATGTTTTAGCTTTGTAACAATTGATGTATAATAACATTTCAGAGGAAATCATTGCAGAAAAATAATGGTTCATTCTCATTTATTCTTCAATGGATATAAATAGGCATATGTATAAGATCTAAATAATATAGTGTTTAATATGTGTAAAATATATTCACAATTAACAGAAAATCTCAATCCGGCAATAGTTGTTAAGAAAAATATCATCTCAATCAATAAGGTGAATCTTCATTTGTCAGTTTTTACGCAATGCATTACCAATTTTCAATCATTAGAGACTTATCAACCTATTTCCATCACATTAGGGGAATTTATCAAACAATATCCAAGGCAAGCCATGTAAACAGTGCCTATTTCTCTCTATTTTGGCACAATATATTTTTTATATCCTTTTTCCTAATAATGTCCATGTACAAATTCTGATCTACAATCAACCTAATGATATGACATGGGACATGACCTTCCCATCATTTAGGACTTTAAACAATGGAAGTAAAGCAATGCCATGATCAAACATTGTCGTAAGGCATGGGGTGGAAGAAACCAAAGGAGTTGATTGTTTAAGATACCAAATGAATTTAAATCTCATGTTGTAGGACCCTTGAGCAGTAGAGATCACTTTGATAGACACACTGGTTGGGCTCTTGGGGAACATCAAGTGGGAGGTGGCCCCCTCTTGGATAAGCCTCTTGTGTGCATTTTGAGACTAATCATTGTCATTCCTTTCTTATTCCTCAAGCTTTCCTCTTCATCCATCAATTATTGGAGAGCTATCTCTTCATCTACTTGATTTACGTACTAATTTGCACCTATTTTAGAGAGACAAGGATCAGGCACACATGTTAGTCTATTATGGTTTGAGGACATATCATGCCTATGTTTGGGTTGTAGAAGAAAGAAAATATAGGATTGAATAGAATATGATTTTTTTTTCTTTTTATCCTTTATTCTTCCCAAGATTAAGAACTCCCCATAAGTTGAATCTTTTAGGACTATTTTTTAGAATTATAACTTTAGAAATAACTAAATCTAAGATAAGACATCCAAGTAATTAGCATACATGATTGCATGATATCTGTGTGTTAAAGGAGTAAATATATAATTCAACATGAAGCAAACCTTTTTTAACTCTCTTCTTTTTCATATTTATGCCGAAATCTAGCATAAAAAAAGACATCTTTATATATAATTAATCAAGCAAAAACATAAAAATATGAAATTCAAAGAATTTTTTTTTCCCTAGAGAAAGACTCCTAACTATCCCCAATTCGTCGACGATGATTATCCAATCATTATTTTTACGCATAATAAGAGATTTTATTGCCTGTACAGCTACAAGTATGCCACTCATAAGGATCAATGGAAGCTCTACAAATGGAATTATGAAGCTCGGAACGCAATTTAGGAGCTTCTTCTGATGAACAGTGAGTTAAGTCAGGACATGAAGCAATTTCTTTTTTCCTTAAGATAAATTCCATAAGATATCAAAGAAAGCTGCACTCATGTATGTGGACAAGTGGTGCTCGAGCACTCATTTTCCAGAAGATGTTGTAGATGTTTGTTAATTTACATCATTATTTTATGAAAATATCATAGAGTGTATTGATCACTAGACTCAGTAATATCAAGCAAATGATGTCTTGAGCACACTTTTTTTGAGCAGAAATAGATCTTTAGACGTAATTCATAAGAAATACATCTTTTGAGCAGAACAAAATAAATACAGTGTTCATTCAGCAGAAAATGAGCTCATTCAAAACCACTCACATGACATCAATGTATAGGGTTTTTGTGTCTTAGAGAGAGAGAGAGAGAGAGAGAGAGAGAGAGAGCATTCACCATCATGGTTTATATATCTAAATTGATGACAACAGTATCACCTGAAGCAAAACCAAATACTATTATATGCCGACAAGGGGGGATCCGCATATAACAGCAGTCATGCTGCGTGGTGGGCGAAGGGGTTGAAGAAGCGAGGCGTCGAGGCCGGCAAGGGAGAACCAGTCTCAGCGCCGCCGATGACCTTCTTGCACGACGGACACATCGCCGGGATTTGCATGTGCCTCGTCGCCGACAGCTTATGCGAATTCTCGAGATCCTGCAGCTCCTTCTGCAGCCTCCTCTTCTCCTCCGTCAGCGTCTCGCAACATCGCCTGAGGAACTCCAGCTCCACCTCCGTTTTCTTGAGCTTGGTCCTGCAACAAGATCCAAGTGATATGAAGTCGTTCTAAGGACCCGAGGGCTTCTAATTCAACTGTGGAACACCAGTCTTCACCACCTTGCTCTCCTGTTCTGGAACCACACTTCCACCTGCCGAGGCCGAAGGTTCAGCTGCTTAGCCAGAGCTTGCTTTTGTTTCTGACAGTAGAAAGAGATCATTCAAGTTAGATCACAATCTTAATTTTCTTTGCAGGATTTCGTCTTTGATTCAAACCGGATTGAGACTGCTGTGCTCCTTAAACTTGTCTTCCAAAAGGGAAGACTGCTCCTTGGTGAGCCTGAGCTTCTTCCTAGCACCGCTGTCTTCCTCCTCCTCGTCGCTGATCCGGGACGAAACCTTTTCCACCTCCTCGCTCCTTACATCGTCCTCCCTCTTAATCTTGCAGGGATGATGACTCTGAGGAGGAGGAGAGTGCCTGCTACCAATATCTCTACCCATCTCAACTTCCACCGAGGCACAGACGTCGCCGGGGAGTGCGAGGGTGAGAGAGGGCTCAAGTGCCTTGGGAGTCGAAGAAGATCTTTGCAGCTCGAGTCCAGAGCTCGAATGGGGACGACTACCGATCGAGAGATCGCTTCTCCCATCATAACTCAGCGTAAGAGAAAGGCCAGTGTGGGGTGTATCATCTCGATCATGGTCATCCATGGCCATAGGTGGGGATCTTCTTCTTCTTCTTCTTCTTCTTCTTCTTCTTCTTCTTCTTCTTCCTCTATTATGCTTGAGCTTGTCAAGGAAGGAAGGAAGAAAGGAAGGGAAGGGAGGAGCGAGGGATGCGAGATGTATTTGAATCATGGGATAGTGATGATGGTGATACGGAGAAGCTTAAAGGCATGACGCACCGTGACATAGGTTGACCTCGAAAGGTCGAGAGAGAGAGAGAGAAGAAAAGGCGAGGAGAGTTGAGGCTCAAAACCACGGCGGTGTAAAGAAGATGATGGAAACCATTAGAGGGAAGGAGAAAGAGAGGATTGCTTGTGGTTTCAAGAATCAAGAACCTATTTTTCTTCCTTATTTTTACTGTATATATATGGCTACATTTATTGTCTTTTATGCCATTTTCAACTTCATGCATCATCAAGCAATCAACTAACCCACCAATTATGTCTTTATTAACCAAACGGAAAATTGTGTGGAAGTTTCATGCCATTTGATGGAAGTGTCTCAACGATGATGATGCCAGCAATATGAATGAAGCTTATTATTAATGTATCAATGATGAAAATTGTTACTTGTCTATCCACCAAGGAAATTTGTGAGTTCAAATTTTATTTTATTTGATGATTAATGCTCTTTCTTTAAATTGCTAATTCGCACTATAAAATTCGGGTTAGGGTTATCTGACTGACTTAAATATCAAAAAAATTATTTTATAATTTTTGTAAAGAATAAGTGATGAAGGAATATTTTGATCCTACAACTTTATGATAATTATCGATCAATTATCTATCTTATTTTTATTTGTTAGGTGATGTTTTGAATTCTCAACATTGGATAATTGAATTCAGACTTATATTTTAGATAGAAGCTTGTTGCAATAAAACTAATACACTTTGCTTTCTAGACATGCTCCTCATGTTTGCTGCCTTCAAGTATTATTATATGTAGTTGATTTCTTAGCACATTAAAGCATTTGGAGATTAATTATAGATTATTCCTACCTTTAACATCTTGGTCTTTACGCCTTTAAAAATTGTATTAAGATCTTTATACTTATGAAAGCGAAATATTTAATCTCATTTCTTCTGACGCTATCAACTCTATTAATAAAAATATCATAGAGTTTACCAATAAGTATGTGCTGACTTTATCTCACTTTGGTTTATTACTTAGCACATGCAATATTTTCATCCGTAGAGTCGATGACGTGAGAAAAATTAAATATTTTATTTTCATAAAGATAAAGATCCCAATATAACTTTTGAAAGCATATGGATCGAGATACTAAAGGTAATTAATTATAGTCGATAATATATGATCAACTCAAATTATGAGTTCTTTCTCTTTCTTTAACTCATTTTACTCTCTCCAGTCAAGGATGGTTGGGTATAATAATGCTCGGTCAATTCTTCGTTTAATACAATAATTGCATTACTTGTTTCAAGTCAAAAGAAGAAGGAGAAGAAGCATTTGTGCTATTGGGATGTGATGAATCTCTTTATGCACTCACAACAGAAAAATGTTGCTTTCATGATAACCACAGTGCACCACAGGATGGATGACTGGACTTCATTGGAGGAAGACCAAATGCTGCATTAGAATCCAATCCTAGTTGAAGTTGTCATAAGTGTTTGTCTACACTTCCCACTTCCCACCTAAACAGCATCCCAAGAATGAGTAAGAGGTGGATAGATAATGCAAAAGAACAACTTTCACTGAGATTTCATGCTTTGTTTGCTTGTCTGCAATGGCAAAAGTTTGTGTTGTTTGTCTGAAAAGATTCATAAAACTCTTGTTATTTCTCACAGTGAGTTGGTAAGGTGGTAAAGTTGTTTCATTTTACTATGCCAATAAATTCATTGCATTGATATATGAGGCTTTATAGGAAATGCAACCAAGCCTTAAGTATGCTTGTTGTGAGATGAAAAGTCTTTTAGAGGAAAAGAGAGATGCATATTAAATGCAATGTGTTTACTATATACATAGGACCTATATAAGGCCATGCCTTTTATCATGGGGAACTGGATGATAGGATGGGATAATTATAGATTAACTTTTATATTTGAATCTTATTAATATTGTGGTCTCCATATTTAAAAAAATTATATTAAGATTCTTATAGTTCTAAAAATAAAATAAATAATCTTAATCTTATTTGTCTTAACATTATTAGCTACAAAAACATAATATGTGACATCGATTGGTATGAAAATAATGAGCAAAGAGATAATTTTAATATCCCTTTTATTTCTAGCGATTTTACCGATAAAAAAATAATTTCAACATCGCATGTGCTGAAAATGAAAGGGATATTAAAATTATCCTTTTGCGCACCACTTTCGCATCAATAGTATCACATGTTATATTTTTCGTCAATGTAGCTGACGACGTTAGGACTAATAAGATTGTTTATTTTACTTTTAAAAGAATAGGAATCATAATATAAATTTTTTAAATATAAAAACCGTAATACTAATAGGATCCAAGTATATAAGATAACATATAATTAGCCCTAATAAAATAGGAAACAAAGGTGATAGTTATTAGGTCTATATGAGTTGAGAGAAATGAAATAAGTTCGAGTTGGATTGAGCATAAGCTATAATAGAATCATTTAGTGGTACTAAGAAAGTTTATCTTATCAACACTCTTCTCTTTAGTTTTACAACTCCATCTCTCACTATCTCTCTATCTATCCCTTCAAGTAATCTATAGTTGAATTTTCTTATACATCTCTTGTGTATTATTACCTCACAAGTTTTGGATCAAGTAGATGATACTCAAAACTGTGAAAAAAGAGATTGAGACATGTGTAATGTCATGTTGGAATTAGTGGCCTATGATACTAAATGTTATAGGCTGACTCTTTTGTGCTCCCAACAGGAGAAACACTAAGAATAACTTGTGATTAGAATGACAAGATTGTCATTGACTTTGGAGCACTCCCACTAGCCAAAATCCAGAAGACATGATCAGAGAAGAAGTTGTTAACCAACAAGGCAAAGCAAGAGGAGTGGGTTTGGATTGAGTCAAATGGCACCACATCAAAGGTGAGTGGAGGTTCCTTGAACATCAACTCCACTCTCTTTTACAAATACCTGTCATTGGGTGAAAGAGGCACACCAACAATTGATGTGAGAATGCAGCTAAAGGAGATGCTCTTAAAGATGATGATGGTGCCCACCAATGATATGCTACAAAAGCTTCTTTGATTCTTGAGGATGATGGAAACTATAGAGAGACTTTGATTCTTCCTTGTCTTTGTTCACCCGGTCTTCTAAGCATTTAAATTTTTAGTGCTCTTTAAAGAAGAAGAAAAAAGGAAAAAGAAAATCTCTGATGTGATATCCTAAAAAGTAATCTCAGATTTAGTGTGATGAATCACTATTTAACTTTACAAACATCTTATATCTTCATCTTATGGATATGAATATTTTTTTAATATTTTATTTTTTTTATACGTGGATTGTTCGTTGAACGTTTTTATCGTACTCTTAGCGTTTAAACTCATATATATTTTTTGAATAAAATTTACTCATTCACACTAATATTATCTAACTCATTTGAATGGCTTAAATTACTTGAATTTAGTCCGCTTCGAGTCGTCTAATTAAATCTTCTTTTGTTTAGTTATACAATTGAATAAAATCATCTTTCATCTTTCAATTTTCTTTAGCTATCTATATGGACATCCACATTCTTTAGATACTATCATTGTCTCCTTATATCAATCGATATCATCACTATCAATGTTTTCTCATAATATATACATAGTCATTTCTTCCTTTACTTTTTTATCACCTATCTTTTTGTTTCCTCCTCTTTTATCTTCTTTTTTATATATACCTACGTCGATACATATTTTTTCTTGATCAAAACTTAGAACCTTAATGTTGGATGGACTAATAGAAATTAAAGTAAATGCAAGACATCATATTAGTAATAATCTTAGGTTCACGATCATGCAAAGTCAATTGTAGAGGGAAGTTTGGCAAAGGCACCACCATGTTTTGGCATGTCGTAGTCCACCATGAAATAAATATGAAGTTGGCTAAGACAAAAGTAAAGAGTCCATGATGGCATGATTTCCTAGAATTGTTGCGAAGGCATAAATGCTTAGACAAGTCACAAGTTAAATAGCATAATCTAAAGTTACTTAGATTATATCGACTCAATTAAACATGTGTCATGGACCTAATGTTAATTAAAAGTCGAATTTGGGCATCACACTCATGTCACTCTCTCAATTTGTTATTTCTTTTAGCAAACCACCATCTTGTTAATGTAACATTTAGTGGCTTATACTTGATCGTAAAACCTTTTTAATGAGAGAAATTAAAGTCAAAAATCTTTTCAATGAGAGGAAACTAAAGTAAAAAAAAAATATCATAAGGTGGTTTTATGAAAATATCTCTCTTTTTCATTTTTTTCCCGAATAACCTCCTTGTTTTTATTTTTCTAAAAAATAAGAATATATGTTTTTTAATCCTAAAAATATCTTTTCTGTTTTTTCCTTATCGTTGGCATCGTTTGTGCTTCTCTCCTTGTCACCTCCACCCGTACTCTTCTATCCCTCGTTGCAAGGTTCATCCTTCCCCGTCACACCCTTTATCTTCACGTGCACCCTTCCTCGCTAGTGAGTCCCTATCCTTTCTTGTAGGGAAGGGCAAGAACTTACCGAAGAGGAAGGGCTCGTGCACACGGAGGTGAGGTGCTTGACGAGGAAGTGTAGAGCTCAGAACAATGAGCGGGTGGCACTAGTCGAACGAAAGCGACAGGTGGAGAAGCATGAGCGACGTCGATGAGGTGAAGTCAACGATAGGAAAATGAAGGAAGGGTATCTAAAATTATAAAAAATAGAGGTGCTATATGGGAAAAAAACTAAAAATAAGAACTTTTTTCAAAAAATCATTTGTTCATGTAAAATTTAGTGATTTTAAAGTCTAATTTCACTTAACAAATAAATATATTTGTAATGAAATAAATAGATTTGTAATGAAATTATAATTTACTGTGACTAATTTCATGCCCATGTGTTGGTTGGGTTAATTTTGTTAATGACTATAAAAAATCTTTGTAATAAGTGATTGATATTTAAAAACTATTCATATACGAGATGGAATAGCTAAATTTTGTTAGACATTTAAATGACTACATTCGGATATGACTCATAAATCTTTAACTCGCATTAGTATTCAACTAATCTTGATTAATCTAATACAAACTTATTTAATTTGATAAAGGTTTGACTTAGAGTGACACAAATTTAAATTGCTTAAGGAGCCAATAGCCTTGATTGGTATAACTCAATCTCATCTAATTAAAATGTCAACCGATGATGTAATATTTTTGTGTCTCGATATATATACCTCGTGGACATGTATATTTCAATCGTTAATACATAAGGTTGATATCATAGCTATTTGGTGTAATGGAAGCATAAGTAGGATTCATAGGAAATTAGTTTCAATCGTCAATACCCCATTTATTCTAATTATCTCCTATGTTCTCCCCCTAAAACGAGACAAACTTCGACGAGAGCTTTAAAATACGATGCACTTTCATTTAAAAATTACGAATTGTTTTGATAGCGATGTATAAGACTTATTTATTAATAATTTATTCGGCACAAAGTTCGTCGTATCATTTGATACGAGTAGCATATATCGATTCGATAAAAGATCGATAAAACTTATTTATTAATAATTTATTTGATACGAAGTTCGTCGTATCATTTGATACTAGTAGCATATATCAATTCGATAAAGGATCGATACGAACGATACATCGATAATTTTTATATATTATATATTAATGTATTAATACGTTCGATACAGCTCGATATAATCGGTGCATTTGGTATTGATAGCCGGTCGATGTATCAATACAAAGGTGTCACGTCTCGCGGATACGTTTATACGTAGACATACCTGACGGGAAGCACCGGCTTCGACATGGAAATATAGGAAAGAGAGGAACACGCGGCTTGCGTCGGGATTACAGCGTCGGGCGTTGGCGAAGGTGATGCCCGCGTGTGCGCCGGGAGGGCTCTCGATCCGTCCGTGTAGCGGGAGATGATGACGATCCCCGCGGGATCGAAGAGCGGCGATGGGAATCATCCGTGGTCGGGAAGGGACCACGGCTCGTTGACGTACGGCCTCGCCCTCTTCGGATTGATCGGCGTCGCTGCCGCCACCGTTGCGGTAACGGCGATTCCCTTTTCCTGTCTCTTCTTGGAGTTTTGGTGTCTACCCTTTCGAATTAGGGTTCTAGATTCATCATGGGTTGCCTCTGACTCTTCTGCGTTTCTTCCCCTTAATGCTTTGATTTGCTATGTTTCGATAACAATGAGGAGAAGAGAAAAAGGAAGGTGGGATATAAGGAGAGATGAGGAGGGCGAAAATAGCGAGGAGACGAGAGAAAAGAAAAGAAGAGGATACCACAGAGAAAGGTTTCTTCCGTTGAACTTTCCATAAGTTCCACTAAGTGGATGCTTGTTTTAAAGAAATGGAATAACCTATGGATTGCGATAAATTGCTCCTAAGTTAGTCGATCAATTGTAGCCATGTTTTATCCTAAACCTTGATAGATGTGAATACCTAGGGAAGATAAGAAAAGGGATTGACAGATCAATAATGCTGAAAAGGGATTGATAAAATAGATTTCATCTCAAATTCCTAATTGCTAAGGATGATGATGAAAAGGACTCAAAACCAGAGTGGTGATGCCGGAAGTCGTTCATCTAAAATTGCCTAAACAAATCAACTGGCTACAATGTCAAAATCTTTTGATCAATAGATCAAGATTCTTTGTTAGAAACATCTTAGGTTAGTGCTTGAAAGTCCTCAAAGACTTTCCGCAAAGTGCTCTCTTGATAAAGGGACTTGTCGTCACCTTGGTGGGAAAAAAAATTAAACGAGTTCTTTTCTTAAGAATTCAAGTTTGGAGATACACTTCTCATACAAGACCAGCATATTGAAGCTGGTTCTAGTACACTGTTTCATTTCTTTCTTTCTGGAATTTGTTTCTGGTCTGATTAAAGAAATATAGATATGTAATACGAAAGTTACTAAACGTATACAGAAAGCAGATTAAAAGCCAATATAATAGCTCACAGTATTGTATGCTTCCACACCTCAGTGGAGTTGCAATAACATACTTTCGATTTATTGTTGATTCTGATGGTAATGTTCATTCTTGCTCGTAGAATCAACATGGCTTGTTGTTGTGGTTGCAGTTGTTGTATATGATGTAGATTTTTTATTTTTTGCCTATTTCTAGGACACATTTATGTGATAGTGTGACTTATGCCTTTGTTTAGTATTCTGATGACATGGTAAGTTATTGTGACCCAGTTGGCACCTTTTACTTTTTCTCTCTCCTTTTTTGCAACTTTGTAGGTTGGACAGTTGAGAAGGACTATGCGTTTGTTCTCCACTCAGGTACAGTCAGCTGCTGGTCCTTGATGACATCATTTCATTGTTCTAATATCTTAGAGATGTTTTTTCTTCTCCATAGAACCTTGGTTGTCCAAAATGGTGCTATTTAGAGTGATGTTGTAAATGACTATTTTAGATGTTTATATACACAACAGAACATATTGGAATTTAGGTGATAAGAAAAGTAAGTCCATTTTGATGAATGTTTGTGAAGAAATGATCAATATATAGGGTGAGAGCTAGTTAATTCAAGTTGAATTCATTTTATTCACTCAGTTAATATAGCTTGTCATTGAATTCTTCAAGTTGAATTCATTGTAATTCAAGTTGAATTCTTTCTGTGGTGTTGCCATATGTTTCTTGGGCGCCTTAACTCCATGTCATATTTGGATAACTGCAGGATTTTGTTTACTGGGCTAAGTTAGCACATGGCACTCACAAGAATGTTACATGATTGTAATTCTTTTCAAATACTTTCTCTAATGTCTTTTTTTTTTCTTGTTTTTCTTGTTTTGCTTAAGCTTGATGAGTCACAATCCCATACATCATGGAAGAGAGCTGGCAGTTCGAGCTTCGGAAACCACAAACAAAAAACTCGGAACAAATGCGAACGCCGTATGCAAGAAGAGTATGAGGAGGAAATGGAGAGAGTGGTTGGTTTCTCTTCTCTCTTGTTTATTCATTTTTTACTTAAACTAAGTCTAGTTAAATATTTTATAAGATTGGTAATTTTAGGGGTTAAAATGTAGAATTAGTGTGTACCTCTAAAAGCAACCTTTTGCTTTCTGAGGTTATTACAGTATCCAAAATAAACATATTTTTGTTGCCATAAACTTGTTCTGGAAAATTTCTTTATATTATATTATATTTTTTATTTATTTTTATTACATCAAATAGCATATATGACGCTCACACATGGACTCTAACCTAAGACCTATCACTTGTGCAGTATTGCACTAACCAATCTGGATGTTTCAGACTATATTATGTTTTGTTATTATGCTGTGAATATTTGAAAATCTCTAAATTTAAGATTTTTAAGATTTTTATCGCTCCATACATTTTATGGACAAAAACGATGGAAGGGAAAGAAGTGTTATATTTTTGGAACATTATTCTATTTCACTCAGTAAAAACTCTATTCACCATGTATCATGAACTGAAGGATTCTGTGATGAGACCAAGGATTTCACATACTCATCTCTACTGAAATACCATGTATCAGTAAAAGCTCTATTCACCTAGCTCTAATAATTGAAATATATTTTGTGTTTCACTAACGCTAGCTACGAATATCTTAGTATTGGAATCAGCAGCGAGCAGCTAGACCTTCAGCTTCTCTGCTACTTCCACTCTCATGGCATGCAATGTGATAACATCGTCCATCAGTCGATATACATTAGTTATCAACTACAGTCATTGTCGACTTTGTTCTTCAGAACACTAGAAATCTGAAACTTTGGCTTTTCCAATTAACCCCACTCCAGTCAATGATCACTCATCATGAAACCCACAGGATCCTTGATTGTGCACTTAGCTAATCTATTACTCAACACTCTTCTGATAGTTCTGAACTGAGGTTCAGACATCTTAACTTTTTGTATTCCAAAGATTTCAACCAAGCAATGAGACTCAGTGGATATCCACCAAAAATTCCTCATTATTATTATTGTTACCGTAATTTTTATTATGATCTATCATCTTCTTCATCTATAAAGTTACTATAAAAGAAAGATATTACATTATTTAATTTTCATGGAGATTTTAGTGAAGGTATGAAAATGGTGAAATTCTAACTAGATATTATGTATAACTATTCTGGCTTAATACAATAAGCCTAAGTACTGTCGAGTTCTTACTATATAAATTGATTGCAAAACAAGGCTTTAGAAATATTACAAAGAATTACGTAAAATTAATGAAGAAAAAAAGTGTAAAAGTTTCTAAAATTGTTGCATCTGATTCGAATGGAAGTTATACTGACACAACTGCAAACTGAAATGTAAAGCTGGCTAAACTTAATTCAACAAAATTGGAAGTAAGTCTTCTAAGGTAAGTTGGCAAACAAAAAAGTTTTGAATTATGCAAAAGGAGATTTTCAATTTTTATTTTCTTGATAACTGTGTCTCCATACCCTTATAGCGGGTTGCAAAAGCAGACCCTAGGAAGAATTAGAAATAATTTGGAGGAATCTCTTTTCCTCTCATATCTATGAACTCCTACCATTTTCTAGAAAGGCGTCATGCAGCCATTTTCTTCCTCATGTAAGGTGAACTACTTGGAGTTTAGGTACTATGCTTTATGATAAATGATTGAGCTCACAGGTCCAAAGCCACTTGCTTGGTGACATGACAAGTTGTATAAGGCTTCTCACTTATAACCACATATATTGTTGTTGTCTTGTACTAATATTAAAAATATAGTCCTCTGAGAATACTCTACTTATTTCAATTGAGTTTTGCAAGCTTGTTATTACCATTTTCACTTTGCTTCTCTAATCAGGCTTCTCACTCATCCTTATATTGCTTCTTCTGTCATTTTTATTCTTTGTTTTTTGTTTCTAGCTACAAAATTTCATATATCTTCCTGATATATAGTTTTTTTCGCCATTTTAAAATATGTTGGCCATAATGCAGTGAAACTTTGCATTTTGTAGGAACGTATAAAGCGTGTGCAGAGCGTGTTCAACAGAGAAAGAAGTAAGAATAGGAAGAGATATGAGTCTTGGACAGACAACACTACTGATGCCTATCAATCTTTCCAAAGAGATGACTGGTACTGGAAGACAGATTCAAGTTACAAGGATCGATATACAAATTTCAGATATGCCACAAAGGACAGTGGGGATTATCTAATGTCACATCATTACTCTGTCTTAGGCCTTGACAGGTATTAGAATTCATATTTAAACTTGTTATAGGTTTTGCAGTATTTATCTTTGTTTAGTGAATGTTAACTGTTTGTAACTAGAGGAATCTTCTCCTTATGTGATGAGTATATTAGACCAGCAGGTTGTCGATAGAATTGTGTGATTTTATTCTAGAACTTCATTTTTTACTATCATTTATAGATTTAAGATCACAGAGCTAAATGAACCTTGTAATAGATTGCACTTGTTAAATGGGTCTGTCCTGTTTATAAATGGTTTGAATTAATGTCAGAGAATAAGATGAAGTTAGATAATCCTGATTCGAGACATTTTGAGTACCTGTGACATCCACACTTTTTTGGTCAATTATGCTTGATCGACAGCATATCATGTAGCAACCATGATATATGGAATAACTACTTTGCTATCACTAACATATGATGTTTAGTGAATTTTTAGCTTTGTAACTATCACTCTTGTTATTTCTTCTAGGTCAAGGTCAGAACCATACTCAGATACTGAGATCAAGGTGCACTTTTGAATGTCACTTGTACTTATTCGATATTTCCTTTATTGCATTCTGTTCATCTGCTTGTTATTTGGTAATCATTTTTTTTGGAACATATTATGCTTCATAATATGAAAGTGAATATAGCATTGTTAATTGTGATGAATTGGGTCACATTTGTCTTATAAGATTTTACTAAAATTTAGTATAATTCTTACATGGTAACGTGGTTATGGCTCCTAGATATGTCCGCTAAGGATGCAAAAACCATAAGTGGTTTCATAGAAGTGATGGAAATTGAAAATTTTTTATTACTGCATCAAAGCAATTGGTAGTGATCATGGTATTTTATTCTAGATGAACTTTTAGAAGTAAAGGGAAAAAAAGTAAAAAAGTTGACATCTATGCATGCAACTGGAACTTCCATTGGAAGTTCTATGGTTGGGTAAACTTTGCCATTTGTATGATTTGGTTTTTGAATCTCATTCCTGATATGTTGGCATAAAACCCCAATTAACAATGTGATCATGTAGAAGTCTAATATCAAATCAAGTTTTCATGTCTACTTAAATAGTTAATGTTTTATACCCTATAAAATAAAATTGATCTCAAGACCACTTGCCAATGGACTAGTTTCGCATGAAGAGTTCAAATTGCTTATTGCCGTAAAACTCAACACCCTCCCGTGTCTAGATATTCATGTGCCTCATGCTGGATTAAAAAGTAGCATGCATGTCTACTTAAAATAGTTTTTTTTCCCAAGTATACTTAAATAGTTAAACCTTCTCATTGTCAATTACAGAATGCTTTCAGAGCAAAAGCAATGGAATACCATCCTGATCAAAACCAGGATAATAAAGGTAAGCCATCATCCTTACCAAAATGTTTTTAGCTTTTTTTTTCTTCTTTCAAAGTTATTTATCTTACACACTTCCAACCAAAACTGGCCCCCTAATTTTCTTGCCGGTATCTTTCTGCAGATGTTGCAGAGGCAAAATTTAAAGAGGTAATGATGTCCTATGAAGCAATAAAATCAGAGAGAAGTCAAGTGTGTTGACTCTCGAGGACCAAACACAAGAGCGAGAAGAGCTGTGTATATATAAAGCAACTTAGCTGTGCTGTTAACTTTCAATCTGGTTTCCTTTTCGTCTATATTCTGCTTCTTGATGTAGTGTTGATTGACCTTTTAAAGTTCCAGCTCTGAAGGCTAGTACTGCACATCTACATATATGCTGAGAGGCATAATTAGAGATAATGTTGGCTATCAATTCATCAGATTGAGGGCTATACAACAAGCTTTTGATTCTGGCAAGTTCAGTATCGAACAAAAAATTTTGATTCACCAAATTGTAGGATGATTTGTTATCTGATGGCAAAGTCAGATGTCTATGCTTCAATACTGTTATTTGTTTATTTATATATGCAAGTAGATGTGCAGTACTAACCTATGTTTAAGTTCAATGGTGAGCATGAATTAGCAGCTAAAAGAGGGGTACCAATCAGAACCCAAATATTAATTCTGCAGCAGTAAGGAAATTGCCCTCTTTCTTGGTCTAAATGATGCAGAGTTTTGCAGCTTTTCAGTGTTAATTAGCATTCTCTCGACCTTATTATTTTCACTACATATTTCATCGGGCCACATATGGATCAGTGCTCGGGTGACATGATCGCCTCCGGTAATGAAGTATCTCTAACTTTTGTTACAATCGAATTTTGTTACGATCGAATCTGGTTTTGAAAAGTTCTTTGACTATGATTTGGTTGAATATGTTAGAATCTGGTTTTGAAAAGTTCTTTGACTTTGATTTGGTTGAATATGCTACGATCGAATCTAGTTTTGAAAAGTTCTTTGACTTTGATATGGTTGAATATGACTTAAAGCATCCTCCATCTTTGGGACAATGGAACCTAGATCGTTCTTCGTTTAGATGCAATCAAATCAAACAATGAAATATTGTTTATCTTCGATGCATCAAAACTCGATCACGAAACATCTTCCGTCTTTGTCATCGAATCTGACTATAAAACTTCCTTTCGCTTGACTTCCTTTGGCTTGAGGTGATCAAATTCCATCGTAAAGTATTTATCGTCTATGATATGATTGAATATGTTATGGGCATTACAACATCGTACCCGGTATATGGTCTCTGGAATATTAGATGGATGAGGGATTATAGATATACGATAACTAATAACAGATAAGTCCAATGGATCGAATTCTCCTATATTGTCTGGGGATTACGACATAGTGACCTAGTACGTTCGTAGTCGATGAGTCAAGTGAATCACTATGAAGATAATAATTCATTGAATCAGAAAGAGTTATGACAAGTATAACTCACGACCAATTCGATATTTGGCCTAGAGAGTCACACACATATGGTAGGTGTTACGATAAATAGAAGTTCAGATATGAGATATCCGTTGGAGCACTTATTGTTGAATCTCGAATTTTGATGATGAAATCAATTGATGAGGTTATGAACTAATAAGTGTTTAAGATAAGTAATGTGGGAAAATTTCGATCATGGACTCGAACCATTAAAGTAGGAGAATCAAACGTTGGACCGGAAAGCACCATGTTAGATATTAGATGTCATGCCGGAGGATTGGTCGACACGCCGAAGGATGGACCTCGAGCTATGAGTCCAGGCATCAAGTTGGAAAGATCGGGTATTGTGCCAAGAAAATCGGATGCTGTAAGAGGTCAACATACTGATAGATCGGGCAATACGCTGAAGGAAAGGACGATGCGCCGAAGGTTCAAACGAAGTGTTAGATGAACAAATAACATGCCGAACAATGTAGCCTTCATGATTATAATTGTTCAGTCTTGATTGAAGTCGTTTATGGTCTAATTAAATTGATTTTAAGGCGTAACCATGTCAACTTGATTTGTAGCCCATTGGGCTTAAACCAGGCCATTCAGTAACTTGGAGTTGGGCTGGGCGATAGTACCGTCAATACCTCGAAAACCCAAGGATTTAAAATTTTTGCTCCATTTTTTAAGCCATTTGGGGTCTATAAATATCTCACTCATGCTTGTTTAATGAAGCGAGAATTCTTAGAGATATAAGTAATGTAAACTCTCTTGAAAAGTGTTATATCTTCCTCATTGACTTTAGAAGTCATTTTAAAGAAGGTGTGAGATTTTGTTGTAAAAGAGAAGTGTGAAGGTTCTCTCCTAAGCATGTGAAAAAGGAGAAAATGGTTAGGTTATAACAAGGGTAGTTGATCTTTGTTTGTTGAAAAAAAGATCAGTAGTAAAAGCCGATGGCCTTGAGGGAAGAGAAATTAGGAGTGGACATAAGTCGAGACGACCGAACCACTATAAATCTGATTTACATTTCTCTTTATGCTTTTCCTTGTTATTACTAACTGGTTTAGTTGCTCACTACCCTTACTCATATTATAAGTTAAACATATTTTCGATACAGATTTATCGATCGAACTTTCAAATTAGAAATTTATTTCAAAAGCACCGATTCACACCCCCCCTTAATATCTTTACGATCCTAACACATATCTTATTAGATATCTAGTAAGTCATTGAATTATTAGATCTTATGGATGAGATCCAATAAAAAGTCAATGAGAGATTATTGGGTAGAAATATATTAATCCAAGAGGCTTGGGTAGTTGGATGAAGATCCAGTACCCAATAAGACAGGTTTCATTATGGTAAGTTTATAGGGATCTATATAAATACGAGGGAATCAAAGGGTCATAGGCTCGATCCTTTTTGACTATCACCTCCTATATTTCTCTCCCTTTTCTCCTCAGTCGACAACCCTAGTTAAGGGTCGTGTGGACAACAAGAAGAGCTGGCCCCTTCTTGAAAGTGTGGAAAGGGGGATTATACAACGATTTAATGAGCATCTTCGCAATGCCTACCATGTGGATCACTACTAGAGAGGAGGACAGTTGACCTCCTTCATTATCTTCTACAAATCTATAGGTTTTTAGGGATATATGATCTCCCTAGGTAGCATATCTTTTACATACGTGTAGTTTTCGATTTTACAAGTTTTTACGCATCAATCTTTGCACGATAACAAGAGTCTTTTTCTGTGAGAAATTCTAGGATTTTATTTTATTTTTGTTTCACTATGCATGTGATGTTGCCCCAAGTTTCCCAACACATCCTTAGTCCAAGGCTAGAATAAAGATAACATCTACAAGTAGTCATCAGCTTCATAAATCACCCACCCAATTGCTCTTACCTCAATTGCTACTCCAATTGATGTGTGGCATCATCGTCTAAGTCATTCATCATTCTCCATTCAATAATAGATGCATTCTTGTTACTCTCTTCCAACTTTCAAATCAAGTAGAACTGAACTCATTGTGATGCTTGCCTTAATAATAAAAGTTATTGACTATCTTTTGAAATAATTTTCATATCTTACTCCAAATCATTTAAAATTATCTACATCGATGCTTGGAGCCTTGCCCCAACCATTTCCTATTAATAATTTTAGATTTTATATTATTTTTATAGATTAATTTACTAAACATATATGATTTTACTCTTTCAAATATAAATTTGAAGTTACCATAGTATTTACTCTATTAGAAAGATGATAATTTTTTTTTTCAATCTATCATTAAAATAGTTTACTTCAATAAAAGAGGTGAATACCAAACTTTAACAATTTATCTCTTATCTTGTGATATATAATATTTCAGGTCACCACCACACACATCTCAACTAGTTAACTTTGTCGAATGAAAGCATTGATATATAGTTGAAACCGATCACACCCTTCTGTACCAAGCATCAATGTCACTAACTTTTTGGTTAGCAATATTTCAAATTGTAGTCCACCTCATTAAATATATGCTCACCCCAATCCTACAACACTAGTCATCATTTAAAAAATAATTTTATAAAATCTTAAACTTTTAAAAACTTAAAGTATTTGATTTTTTATGATATCCCTTACTATACCCCTACGCATCACATAAGTTAATATTAAGATTCAAGTATTGTATTTTCATAGGGTACTCTCTTAACTATAATGCTTTCCAATGTTATGATCCTTAAACTCAAAAGGTCTTTATATCATGTTATGCTATTTTTTGTTAAGTCCATATTTTCCTTCTAAAATCGTGTGCCTTCAACAATGCAAACTACTATAACAACCATATATCATTGGATTCATATGAGTATACCTCAAGCTCCCTCAAAGACACCTCTCACCACATCAACTAGCAGCTCTGTTTTAGACTTTCACTCTCTTATCACTCTAGTTTAGGAGCACCTTACCCTCTTTGAACTTCTTCATCTATTTCTCTACTAACTCACCTTGAAATGCCTGATAAAGTAATACCCTTGGTATAAAAAATGATGTCTTTGTCCTCTCTTCAGCCAAGTGACACCGAAGTACATTAGCCTAATCAGGTATGTGTTAGTAACTCTTCACCAATTCTCATATCTCTAATATGATCCAATAATACCATCAAACCTAAATATTACATGACAACATGCTCCAAAAATGATATCTTTAAACCACATCAAATCCTTGACCTCCATGCTACCATAAGCTCTCCACCTAAATCTACTAAACTCACAACTATTATCTATGCCTAAAAATCCTCATCCTAGCACAAAATCATGTGTGAAGTATACGATGCCCTACTTCATAATACCATATAGACCCTTATACCATTTCATCGCACACAAAATATCATTAAGTGTAAATTGATCTTTCAAATTAAGTGATATCCAAATGGATCCATTACCAGATACAAAGCACGTTTAGTGGCCAAAAGGTTTCACTAATGACAAGATGTTGATTTTACAAAAATATTCAGTCTAGTTATTAAACTAATAATAATTCGGCTCATCTTGAGTTTGGCTGTCACTCAAGGCTGACATATACGCTAACTAGATGTTAACTATGCTTTCTTTTAGGGGACATTAATTAAAAATATCTTTATATAGTAACTTCCTGACTTCATTTATCCTCAATATCCAAGCTATGTTTATAAACTACAAAAAGCTATTTATAGACTTTGCCAAGCTCCAAGAGCTAGGTATACTGAACTTGGCTTGTTTTTTACGTCAATTGGCTTCATCAACTCCAAGTTTGATATCTCTTTATTTCTATGATAACAAAAGAAAAATACTATACATCTATCGATTTATGTGGATGACATCATCATCATAAGTAATATTTCCATGAAGAGCAAATAATTTCTTAAATAATTAATAGATCGATTCTCGATTCCCGATCTAGAAACCTTAAGCTATTTGTTAAGAGTAGAAGTAACAATTATATCTTCTGGCCTTTTCTTGTTTGAGAAGAAATTATTAAAGATGAATATGTAAAATGCTAAAGAATCACTCTCTGAATCACTTAAATTATATAATGACAACTTGACATTATATATCAATTCACTTTTAGAATATAGTATGATAACGTCGATGCCACCTATCTATCAACTAATCCGGTGTTCAACTCATGAATGAAATATATTGCCATCAACTTTCACTTTATTAGAGATCAAGTTTTTATATATCAACTATACGTTTTTCATGTCTATACTTCTGACCAACTAGTAGACTTCCTTACAAAGTCTCTTGTTCACAAGATATTTCAATTATATTTGAGAATCAATTACATATTTGAGTGATTAATTTGATTAGCACAGAGTTGAGAAAAAATTTTCCCTTAAAACCTGTATAATTACATATTATCTTAATGAATTAAGTTAATCCTCTTCGAAACAAATTCCTCTGTTCTAACATGTCCACTGAGACTTCTCCAGATCATCACTAACCCAATCACATGAACTAGGATACCCTGGCCTCATCGACATGAGCCTTCGTATTTGATGATTCATCAAACTCCTCCAGGATCGAATAATGACTAATGATTCCTTTTAACTACCAGCAGATCAACAACTGCAAAAATAGTTCATTATAGAAGCTGCATCCCTCAGCCATATATTTACATCCTACCAATATAATAATCATTATAAATATTTTTTTAGCAGATAATTTACAGTTTGCGTACTTCTACCGACTCCACTAGCAGTAATACCAGTGGAATTTAGCTACCTTGATCAAAATCCAGCTTTGATCTTTGAGCAGACTCCATCATGTTCATGTTAGAGTAGTTTATATCCAGCTTCTTTCTAGCGTCAGCTGGCCTCTCCTTCTGCATGACTCCAAAACTGTGATAGAGTTTCTTGCCTCCGGACTTGGGATGAAGTTTCAAGCAAGTCACATACATTACCAACTCCACATAGTTACTTGTCACAGACATTTGAATAAGGTTTCGGAACAACCATATCAGACAATTTAGATTGACACTGATAGATTTTTTAATGTCTTTTCAGTCTGCAGATATCTTATTTTGTCATTATAATCCAACATAAAGATTTCTAATAATCATAATTAAGATATTGAGACAAGTCTTTGCTTTGAATCAACCATTAGAGTCTTTATCTTTGCAATACTCCACAAGAACAGAGCTATCCGAGTGGAAATCTCATATGTCAGAGGATAGCCTCATACTTCTCAGGTAAGCCACAGAAATTCTTATCAGGTACTTGGACTTTGACTATTATTGGTCTTCATCTTCTTTCTTAATTAACACTCGTCAATCTTCCCATCTATTCTTCCCTCAAGCTTGGCTTGATCACATAGCAAACCAGTTTCAGATAGACCTTCCAAGTTCAAGAGGGCGAAAGAAGCCACCATAAGTCTCACTCCATAGGAAGCAAAGTTCAATTGAGCCAAGCAATTCCTATGGTAGACTGACAATATAGTTGGTCTTTATCTTCTTCCTCTACTATTGTTGGTCTTAGCCTTCTCTTCTTCAAGCTTAGCTTGCTCACACAACAAGCAAGTTTACAGGTTGAGGGAGGGCAAGGAGTGCATGACAGCTTCTCTGCGAATCATTCCTTTGATCTCCAGCTTCATCAGGGAGAGATGAGCCACCATAAGTCTTACTCTGTAGGTAGCATCCCCTTCTCATGGGAGAACCAGCCAGGTATCTCCAAGGTCACACCACAAGCAGAAGAGAATCACCTCAAGCTGCCGCCGCCACCATGCAAATCCGACAGCCCCATGTCCGCGGCGCATGGCCTACATGTTCCTCTCCCACCGTGCATCTTCCAGCCGCCGTCGCGGAGCTCGTCGAAGAAAGGTTTGAAGGAGGAGGACGACCCCTTCTTCGCAGCTTACATGGAGTGCACCAGAAACGTTAGGACGCAAGGGAGGAGGGGTTCGAGGAGGAGGAAAAGAGATGGTTTGATTGGGTTGTTCTCCTGTACGGGTAGCAGTGGAGTTAGGGAGAAGGCCATTGTGAGGCTGTCACAGCTTCCTGAAGTTAGAGAGTGATGAGAGGCTTGGAATCCATGGGGAACCTGTTGTGCTGATCCTGTGGTTCTTGCTCCATGAATCACCTTCTTCAGCAGTACTTTGTAAGTTCCATTGTGTGAGCGAAAGATTTATGCAGGTCGGAATGATAGATGCTATAGGTGACATGGTAATATTCTAATTGAAAGCATAGTTATATTGATGAATACATGTAATGATATTGTACAAAGAGATTGCGCAATAAGAGAAAATATTAAACAATATAATTTGTTGGTTATCTCAATGTCCATTGGTACTTGCAGGGAAAAACAATGTATTTGAAACCTTCTTGGGCAAATTCAGCAAAGAGTCGCAACTTTTTGCTTTTTTTTTTTCTCAAGAGTGTCTTTTATTTGTTTATTTTTTAGAATAAGTTTTTAAAAAGATAAAATTATCGTTGACCTCTCGTCTTGTCACCTCCGCCATATGCCTCATTATCTTAATCCTCCCCATTGTCTCTTTACCTTTGCTCTTAGTTCATAGCTACTGTTGTAACGATCTAAGTAAGTGATCTCTCATAAGGGTTTTTTAGTGTTGGGGATGGAGGAGCAAGGAAACGATAAAAACAGAATACTACGATGTAATTAAAAAGAATCCTTTTCGATCAAGAAAACCGTTATAGTATTTAAATAAAAGGTAAGACAGGAACACTTACAAGATATTCCCAAGTGCACACACTCTATCTTATTTCATGAACTGTGATCTTATTTATAGAACCTAGAGGTAACTATCTTACTCCATCATATCACCTATGATTGAGTTAGGTGTAGGAACTATCCTATAACTTATAGATCATGGCCCACTTTTTAAAACATGGTGATGGTCTATAACTACTTGATACGACATATTTTGGCCCTCAAGACACGTCGGGTCAGAATTCGTATTAAGGCACTGCTCGGCCTCGGGAGCCCCGAGACAGCGCCGCCCCCAAGACACGCCAAGTCAGAATCTATACTAAGGCACTGCTCGACACGTCCACCATGCCAACCTACGTATGACTGACCCATGTACAGTAATATAAAGACCCCTGGCCAGCATCTTGCCAGAAGAGGAAAAAAATGAATCAATCACTCGACTGACTTGCTCGTCGGAGGGGCCTCGATGGATGATCCTGACGAGGGCCATTTTTACAGGAAAACGCGATCACCTCACGAAGACGAGCTGCCAACCACCAGAGAATCATCGTCTAGTGCACGAAGGAGAGCAGCCAACCGGCTCGGATCCCGACCAATGCCAACCAGCACCCCTTCCCGAGGGCGCGACTACCTCATGAAGACAAGCTACCAACCACCCTGGAGAAGGAGAGACGCAACTCGGCATACACAACGCCCAGATCAGCACACCAAAGAACGCTGACCAGCTCCCCATCGCGAGGGCCCGGTCGACCTCGGCATCCAGCTCAACCGACAGAAGACTCTCGACATCGACCCATGGACCAGGCCGTGCTGACTCACTAGTCACCGCACATTTGTTCACTAACACTACCCATGTTCTATAATTAACCCATGTTCTATAACTACCTAGAACATGATAACTACCTAGATAACTACTATGAATCAATTCTCAACACTTAAGTGAGGCAAAAGACTCAACGGTGCTAACACTAGAGTTAAAGGATGTTGTGCCCGCACTAGCCACCGAGAGGGTCGAGGGCATAAGAAGTTGGTCCTAGCCTTGGGGCCACAGAATTGATTGGTGCCAACATCGTAGGTGTGTGTGATCTTCTCGTAATATCGAAAGTGTCGAGCCATATACGATACTTCTTAACCCCTTATTGTTACCACGTTTGTTACCACGTATTGTTACCACGTTTGCTTCTTAACCCCTTGGCACTTGCCCTCTTTCCATCTCCTCCTATATAGTCATCGTCACATCCTTCATTGGTGTTGGAAGCCTTTATCGGTGTTGGTCACCCAGAAAGATTGCTTGTCTCGATTGCCATGGTAGGAGCAATAAACGTGGGGTGAAGGTAATGATCGACATAACGGAAGATAGGGATAATCTCATCTTTAAAAAGTAGAAAGTTTTTTTAAAAAATAAAAAAATTGAGATTTATTTTTTTGTTTTCGGAGAACTTTCCCAACCTTATTTTTTATTTAATTTAGCTACATGGGTTTTTCTATAATGGAGGTCGTAACAATGGCTTATAAGAAGGCCCATAAAACCCAAGCAAAATGGGACTGCTTCTATACTATCCATCTTCAGAACACCTCTTGCCTGGATAGGTAACCCATATTGCTTCTATGCTTCAGCACACCAAAGATGCTTATCACATCCTTCCCACTTGCTTGACGAATCGTCTAGAGATGCAGCAATGCAGTTCAACACACAAAGGACAAGAGTACCAACAGCTCAAGGATGATGAACTCCCTCAACATGCAGCAAGTAGCACCAAGCCTCATCCTGTCATCTTCTCACTTCCGCACATGAGAACACAAGGCACCGCCCCCCGAAACCCGCGTTGATTCAGGAGGACGAAAGCAAGCCAACTAGACAAGCTTCACATCGCCATACACCGCCGTTGTCATCGTCAGATCACCACATCAGTGTCAGTCTAATTCAAAGCCAAGATCGCGTTCCCACGAGCCCACCACTTCCTCCTTGTTGCGGTGTACGTAGCCGCTGCTACCTGCAGACTGTCTCAAGCACAGTTTGCAGACGGTGACCACAGATCGAATGCAGGCTTCTGATAGACACTTCTCCATGCTGCCCTAATCAACAGGGTTATGGTGATGGAGCAGATGGACAGTTGTGGAGGGAGGACTTTGACTCTTGTTTTTGTGCCAGATATCAGGAACAGATGGTGCTGTGTCATGCATGCATGCGATTTCATTTATATATGACCGGCAACTCTTCTTCCCCACCTCTCGCCAACCTCCCTTCATAATAAGAAGAAATGAACCTGTCCGATTTGAAATGTTGGGATCTGTTCTCACTTCAATTTTTTTCTGAAGCTTGTGATGCTGGAACTCTTCCACCACTTGTGGAGCTGTTCTCACCTGACACGGCTTCTTTGCCTATTAATGCTTCTTATGTTTACTATATGTTGATTAGTAGTTAATCTAGTGGAAGTCCAGCAACAATAATCCAAAATCTTAAACTGGATAATTATTGATCAAATTCAATGTACTTTTAAGTGTCTAGAAATCTCTTCTAAATGATTTTTTAACTATATATGTATTTAGTTTCTTTAATACAAACCAAATTGTTTGGAGAATAAAATTGCATGAAAGAAAAAAAAATCAAATGTGATAAAAAAAAATCCTTAGAAATTAAGGATAGTTGTCTTATAAATACTGTTAGTAGAGATTTATTTAAGTGTTTGTAGGATTTATTTTATAGTTGACAGAGAATTATTGATGATTTATTTTACAGCATACAAAATAGTTTTGGACTTCGGTTTATGTCTACTCATATGTATTATATATATATATATATATATATATATATATATATATATATATATATATATATATATATATATATATATATATATATATATATATATATATATGACGTGTCCTATCAAAATGGGTCCATGATCACGTGATCCGGGAGCAAGACCAGGTGATCCATCATCCCTGATAGCGAAGTGACATTGCTGTCCTCTTACACAGGTAAATAGACGGCTGTGATTGAAACAAGTCACTTGATTTGTGTGGCACAGCGTTCCCAACTTGTGACTAAAATTGACTGCTTTGATTGAATTTATTAGCTCAATATGAAATTAAGCTGTGGTTTTGGCAGACTTAAGAGATCAAACTTGCTTAAAAGTCTCAGATTATGGCATCTAATGTTATCTAGAAATATACTTTCTGGCCTTTAAATTATTTGGTGGGCACATTGTGCTCTTCCAGAAAGTCAACATGCAAGAAAAGTCAAATGCTCTGCACTGAATTCAAAGCACTAAGGCTTCAACCTCCCATGTCATGCAAGCCTTCACAACCTGAATCCAGGATTATAACTTGTGGATTGTAGGAGATCTGAACAAGATGCTGTCCCTGTTTTCTGTTGATATAAATCCAAAGCCTCTCTTGTTTGTCTTGTTGGAAGACTTATAGCATGTTCTAGAGAATGATGATGTGAGATGATGGTAAGATTATTTCTTTATAAATTGATAAATCGATTCTGAGTTATAAAATTAAATTTTTTATATTTGTTGTTCATGTTGATCATTCCTAAATCCTGTATTGGTAGAGCATAATCTATTCTTTTGTAATGTGATGTGAAGTGTGAACATATCAAATGAATGATAGTCTCTACAGCTGACCTTATCCAACACAGTGGCCACAAATCATCGAAAAGGCAGACATTTCTGCCACATGTTCAAGCAAATTAATTGCAGGAAAGAAATTGTTGAACCAAACCAAAGATAAAAATCCCAACAGTGTCTGGCCATGCTATTTAAATCCCCCCTCAATTCAACCATTCCTCACCAAATCCATCAGAAGCTTCTCTTCTCTCTCTCTCTCTTTCTCTCTCTCCTATCCAATCTTCCTAAATCACCATAAAACATGTCCAAGAAGATCATGGTTGTTGTGTTCATTGCTCTCCTCCTGTTGTCCTTAACTCATGCAGGCAGGCCAAACCCAGTGGATCCAAAGAAGAGCAGTCTTCAGGTACACCTTGTTCTTTGATTCTAGTCATTCCATCATGTTACAGGTTTCTATCATCAGCATCATCATTATTATTATTGCAGGCTGTTGAGAAGGAGATGGGTGGTGGGAGAATGGAAGGATGTGAAGGAGCTGGGGAGGATGAATGCTTGGTGAGGAGGACCCTTGCTGCCCACACTGACTACATCTACACCCAGGAGCACCATTAGGGACTTGTAGGATTAGATTACAACTATGCTGCTTGAGTGGGGATTCCTAGTGTCTGGGTTTCTTTGGCTTCTTCTTCTCTAGGTAGTTTGGAGAGACCATGTAAATCACTTCTCATCCTGCTGTTCCTTTGTTGTTCACATGGTTATAGGTTTTTCAATGGATTGAGTGATATATGCAGTATATGCACATCATCGATTGACATCATGCAGGTGCATGCAACATCAAGTATCGAATCGATCGGTATCCATTTAAGCTCAACCTTCTTCACTGTATCTCCTTGTTCTTCGTACTTGCCGTGAGCATCTCAGAACTTAGAACAGTGACCATCCTGTGCCTGCTTCTGCAAACATAAATCTCTCTCTCCCTCTCTCTCTCTGAACTCTCAACGAGGAAATCACTAAGCATTCAAGAACAATCTGAAAGCTTGCAACTCAGAAAATATCATTTAGCATGCTGCCTGTTGTCTGCCACCCTGCATGTTGAGCTTCCTTCTGCCTTAACTCTTATGCGCAAATATTGATGTTGCAATTGTTTCCGGTGATTAATCTCTTACTTTACCAATTTGTTAGATATCAAAATTTTTAGAGCATGCATTTCTAAAACAATTCACTTCTAGAAATATTATTTTTAACTCTTCATTTTTTTTTTGAGATTTATATGCCAAAATTAGTATCAAAGTGGATGATTTAATTACAACCAAGATTATTAGTTGAGTTATGGATTATACATATATATATATGGATTACAAAATACGAACCGAAAGAACAGATTAATTAATCAGGGTAAACATTTGTCTGATCTAAGTATTATAAAAAATAAAATTATAAAAAATAATCAGGGTAAACATTTGATCTATGGATTACAAAATACGAACCGAAAGAAGACCAGATTAATTAATCAGGGTAAACATTTGTCTGATCTAAGTATTATAAAAAATAAAATTAACCAGGATAAGCCATTGAAATCCTCACAAGAACAGATGTATTATAAATGATGAAGCTGAAAGGTAGCAAATGGACAAATGAAGAGAGCCATCAATGTTGTTATACTAATTGACAAGTTATGCAATTAGAGATGATGCATATCAATGTGAAAGTAAATATTAAAACATAGCAACAATTCTCATTTCACACTAAAATGATCCAATTGGAGACTTAGTATAACACCCACAGGGTAATGTAGACATCATTCTTGATGTCATCTTAAGATCTTTGAAAGGGACTCAAATGAAATGGTCATCATCTCCAAAGTGTTCTTGTATCAGATTCTTGGCATTATATCTCTCTTGATGAATTGTTAAAAGGTCAACGGAATTTAGCAGCAAATGGAGAGGTGAAATCAGTACATGTTTGACTATGGGGGGATCACCAATTAGGTGCTGTAAGGTTTTCTGATTTCAAGACATGATCATGAAAATATAACTATTGTGAACTTGGCAAAAATACATTATGGGAGTGAGGTCATTGACTAAGATTCAATACAAACTAAAAGATCAGAATAGAACCTTAAATGTGTGGCATTTTCTTTTGAAAAAGAAAATATCTATTTTGTTAAATGGTTATATATATTGTCTAAGAGAAATATATGGTTGGATATGGCCATGGCTGTGCTTTGGAACATCTAAAAGTTGAGTTCAGGGAGAACAGCAAGGGAAGAGTGCATGGACAATCAAGGGAGTAAATACATACCAACTAGACTTTGCTTCAGTTAGGTTCCTCTGCCATTTTTACCTATACGACAACTGTGGCTACATGACCATGCAACTATTGTGTTCCTATGGCAGTGCTCTGCTCATTGTTCCCCCTGTGATTTTTTCTTTAATTCAGAGAATTTCCTCCTCTAACTTCAGTTTGAGTGAATTTTCAGAACTAAGTATAAACTATCTGATTGACAAAGATAATGAGAAAACAAAATGAAGAAATCTAATGACTGTTTAAGAAAATATAAACCACAATCATGTTTTTTCTAAGAACAGTTTCTCATGATCACAAACAGTCCAGCCATGATATCTGCTCTTGGGAAATACTTATATGACATACCCAGAATTCACCAATGTTTATAGTTCAGCCTTCCAAAGTATGAACTGACATGGTATTCATTGTATCCATTTCAGAAAGGTATTAAAAAATAATCTCAAATCTAATAATAATGCAAGATGTGAAACTAATAGAGCAGTAAACCAAGCTGACACTAAAAGAAAAAAGACTTTTAATGGCATGGCATATAGGTTGTACATTGCTTTTACAGTAAGCACCTGGAAAACCTAGGAAAAATGATGTGTATAAAGATCAGAACTCACTCAGTGAACTGACAAGTACTCTTAATTCTAGTAAAGCAACAAATAATCTCAAAGTCTAACTAAATCTGCTTGTGTGAAAATGTTAATTTTTCAACAGCAAAAATATCTATGCATCTCATTTGGAAAGCATTTTTTCTATTAATTTCAAACAGAGTTGCAGAATTCAGCACAATTCAGAACCATGCATCCTTTCACACTTAATGATGCATTTTTTAAGAGAGGAAGAAATTTGAAAAGGCAGAAAGCCTCATAAACCATGTCTCTGATCTCACCTCTGCTGCCTCCAAATTTCTCTCTCTCAGACATTTTTTATCCAAAAATAAAAAAGAAAATAAAACATGATACAAGAACATGATATCAAGTGTCTGCTATGCAGCAGAGATACCAAAACAGATACATTTGGATAGTCCAAGTTTGGCAAACCATGGAAAGCAAGATATATGATGTTGTAGCAATACATATACAAAGGAAATGGATCTTATTTTTATATGCGACAGAATTGAAGTTGCTGAGTTCACCAAATTAAATATCAAATCATTTTAATGGACCAAGAGACTAGTTTCAGAAGAATCTTGTGCACCACTTTGTGGCCCTGCTTTGGCATCTTTGCATGTTGTGAGCCACCATCCACAAATGGAGGCTCATGTGAATCCCAATCAGATGCCAAAGATTAATGATCTTGGAGGCCCTACTTTGGCATCTATAATCATGCTTGAAGGGTTCCACCATCATTCAAATGCCCAGGATTAGCTTTTCTAAAGTCATGTCCCTTCTTATGAATCTGTTGAATCTAAGTTCTCCCATGGGCCACAAGGATTATTTAACTGTTGAATCAACTACAAAAAGCCATAATTTAATTCAAACATACTCTCTCAGTTGTTATTGGTTGTCTTTAGTTGTTTATTAAGCTTGATAAATTGATCTGTGATGTATAGATCAATTATTATCATACAAATATTGATGTTATAGTTAGTAAGTGTTATTCAAGCTCTTAGGATGAAATAGATAGGAAGCATAAAGGAGTTCTGAACTCAGTAGATTCACTGCTTTGATTTGCAGCAGTTTAATACCATTATCCATCAAATCTGATATCAGCCACAGGTAATGCTTTTGTCATTAAATAATTATGGAACTTCTGCAACAGCTATCATGAAGCAAAGCTTTTGTTGGCTCATACATGGACCTGATGACACTCTACTTGGTAAAAGGTATTAGTTGTGATGATTGAAGGTGTTAATGATCCTCAACAGTTTGATATTTCTAGTTATTCTCTTATTTTCTATAATAATTTGACTAAAAATTAGAATATCTTATTTTAGTTGCTACCTTTTCATGTCATTGAGAAGAAGATGCTAAGGTGGATACATTGAGTTACTCGAAAAGATTAAAAAAATATTTTCATTCGTGAATAATTAATATATCTATTGTAAAAGAAAAAAATGATGATGAATCATTTCGGATGATATAAATATAGGTATTATGGTTAGACAATATGAGATGAGATAATTAATATTAATAGTAGATGAAGAAAAGTGAAGAAATTAAAAGGATTTTAGTAGAAATTATAAATAAAAATTTAAATTCGATAGTAAAAGATCCATCAAATAATTGTGATATTATAACTTATCATTATTGTATATCTAAACTAAATTATGATAATAACAATTTTCTGATCTGACTAATATTAAGAACTATAGAATGTTGCAGGAAGAGTCATCTAATTCACATGAGCCACCTCCCAAACCTTCGAAGTTGAGGAGGTGTGATGCTCTGATGGGTGGGGCGCCTACCACTCTTTTCATTCTGGTTTACAGCCGAAAGACTTCCTGCAACACCTTGTGGGCAAGAAGAAGTGCAGGTGGGAAGCCATGGACTCTCATGGCCCTTCACTTTATTCCGGTGTCCCGGTGTCGGCGTCGTCTTACCTCTTGTGGATAGGAACAACCGAGGAATAATGGAGTCCAGAAAGGTGTAGGTCTTATGTAAATTAATGTGAACTGCTAAGGCTCAAAGCTAAAAAGACTTCATCCTTTCTTTCCGGCCTTTATGTTGGAAAGCCAATGATCACGGATCTGATCAATGTTGTTTCGACGCCATGGATTAACCTTATGCATGATAGAAGCAAAGACGATGGTAGGCTTAGTGCAACTGAAGTAGATTTACTTTGAATTCTGGGACATATGTCCACACAAGATAACCCATGGCTGAGCTAAACATTTGAGATTAGCTTTAGCTTTCTTCATCCTCCTTGAGAGAGACGACATGTCGGCTATAATATATACGTATATGTATAGATGGTGCCACTATGTGTTGGCAGCGAAGTGTTGAGACTTGGGTGCAATGTTACGTGCCGACGGGTGTCTGCTCCAATATTACTCTTTATAAGGTGGCTTTATTATTTAGCCTAATATTATCATAATTTGCCCAAAAATATGTAACTTGTTGTTTCTATAAACATTTAACTAAGCTTCGATCAATCTTTCATATGGTAAATGGATCACAAGAGAACAAACAGTAAAGGGATAAGTATTCTTTTTCGTACGTCAAACAGTAAGGGGAACAGCTTAAACATGTGAATATGATTGCATCAATATCATTTCTTGAGAGAGAAAAGAATAACAGTGCATATTTGCGATCACAGAAGTCACCGCTCCTTTATTACGGCATGCCGACCTCTCTCTCTCTCTCCCTTTCTCTCTCTTTCCACTACTTGGCTTAATAAAACCAACCCTTTCCAGCCAAAGGCTCATCCAAAACACAGGAGTATCAACGATAAGGAGAAGGGGAGCAACGGAGGGAAAGAAACAAGGCGAGCCATGAAGACAACCGCTCTCATTTTCTTCTCCCTACTGCTGGCCGCCGCTGTGGCTGGCCGCGACCTTGACAAGAAGAAGGCCGAATCCTCCAAGGACAGCGCGGGCCCCGCCACCTACATCCCGGGGTACGGGGCCGACCCCGGCGGGTACTTCGGACCCGGCGGGGGGTTCAACATGCCAGGAGGGTTCGGCGGCGGGTGGGGCGCGGGATACGGCGGGCCCGGAGGCGGGTATGGCCACGACGGCGTGGTCCTGCCCTCGGTGGTGTGCTCCGACAAGGGGCCGTGCTACAAGAAGAAGTTGACGTGCCCCGCCAGTTGCTTCACGTCCTACAGCCACTACGGCAAGGGTGGTGGCGGCGGCGGTGGTGGCGGAGGCTGCACCATGGACTGCAAGAAGCACTGCGTCGCCTACTGCTGAGGCTTTTCTCCTCACATTCCGCCCTCTATACGTCGTAACATCAGTATTATGTATACGTATGCTGATCTCATGTACGAGTGGTGTGTGATGAAGCAGTATGGCTTGGTGTTCCAAATATAAAAGATATAAATCATGAATGATATGATATATAAACAAGATATGTAGACGAATAAGGAGGGCTCTACATAGTTTGATATA